CATAGAAAAATGTATGATTAGTATGGAAATATACCCATAAAGAAAAAGACAGATTGTCAAGCATAGAGGTAATAGGACTTAATTTTTATAATAATGAAATATGCAAATATTCATATAGATTTTACATTAAAAAAGCTCTGGAGTGCTATATTATCAATGATCATTTCCCAATAGTGGTTTTATGGGGATTTTATTTTCTTCTATAATCTTTATTACATTTTATGAACTTTGAATAGGCATCTATTGGCTATTCTTTTGGAAAAAAAGGATATTTTTCAAAAAAAATTTAAAAATCTGAGAGGGGATAGAATAGGTATGTAACATGATGAGTGGACTGACAGAGACACGAGCTGTGCACCAAACACACTAACCCTAACCCTTACCTTACTGAGCTAAAAAGATGAAAAGGTTATTTCTAGTCAAAGAGGAGAAGAAAAGGTTATTTTAAGGCAAAAGAACTTTGCTTTCGAAGATGGGCTGCCAGAAAAGGCTTACCTTCTGTCAGGTATTACAAATATTTTAATGTGACTGAAGAATACAGATGAAGGAAAGAAATACAGCAGGCGAGACCACAAAAGGTGGATTGAGGTCAATGCCCTAATTAGCAGAGGCAGGTATGTCAGAAAGCTGAGGCTTGTAAGATATGAAAAAAGCTATCCGGGTACCTCTTCAAGTTTGTAAATGGGCCAGCAAATTAAACAGACAAATGACAGATCAAGGAAAAAGTATAGAAATTCTATTAACATGTTCAATTTAATCACTGCGACTTCATGGAAAAGAAGTAAAAATTGAAAGAAGCAGTTAGATTTGGGTGTCATATCCTATTCTAACAAAGAGCAATAAATAGCGGAGAAATGACTTGATGAAGAAAGAGTGTTGGGGCTTCTAGAGCTGGTAAGTTGTGGTAGAGTAGATGAGGTGAAGTAGTAGGAAATGCATGGCATTTCAGTAACAGTCATCCCAATGCTGCCTCTCAGCCGGCAGCCATTTAAAAGAGTCACTGGCCTCCCCTCGTACAGAAGCAGGAGTTGAAGCCAGCTGCACAAAGGGAAATATATGCCATGCTGTGGCAAGAAAGAGCAGATCAGAGAACTTTTCTTGCATCAGTTAATACTCAGTTGCTTTCAGCTTAGAACAGCCTTTATGCTAAAGTGGCAAGTTTGGGAATGAACTCCTCTAGAAATCTTCAGTTATAAACATGGCGATGTAAGCACATTGTTATAAGATGGAGTTATAAGACAGAGATGTAAGTCCACTGGCTCTCCTGGCAGACACCAGTGTATCAGTATGATGCTTCTAAGGCAAGGCCATCTCCCAAGTTTGCCTCCTGGATTTTCTCCAGACCTTAAGGCTAAGAGTGGGTTGTTTCTTGAAAGAATTCCCCAAAGGTCCTTGGAGAGAAAGGATGCATGGAAAGAACAGCCCTGATGTTGTCATGAGACTCCACAGTTCTAGTGAAGCTGGGTCTTGTTAGAGTTCTGGGTATCATCCGGTTTTAATTGCACTGTTTAAGTCCCAGCTCTGGTAATTTTGTGAGATTGTCATCCATCTTTACTAAACCCACTGGCAGTAATGCTAGGAAGAAAAATGAAATGAAATTTCAAGTATCCCAGTGTGACAAATAAAGAGAATCTGCAGAGTTTTAAAACACAGCAGGAAACTTTATGCAATTATAAGGGGAGGTTGCTAATGGATTTCATTGCTGTTGAGAGGAGAAAATTTCTTTTTTATGAGCAATTCATGCATCTGCATTTGTGGACGTTTGTATCTGAGGTATTGGACATTTTCCTGTGTCGTGTACTAGTTAATCTTTATCTATTGATCCTTCATCTGCTGTTAGCTGTTTCTTGAGCTTAGGATATTATTATTAGTATTATTATTATTGTTGTTGTTGTTGTTATTGTTATTATTATTTGTATTTGTATTTTCATTTGCATTTTTGAGGCAGGCTCTCACCATGCAGTTCACCGGCTCATCTGAACTCATTTGGCAGCCAAGAGCCTAAGATTTTCGTAGTTGACACCAGTTTCCTTCTTTCCTACCTAGCTGCTAAGTTTCACTTACAAAACAAAGTTATAAAAGTAGGAAAAGAACAGCCAGGGAATTAAGTTCTAGAGTTATTTCTAAGCAGCTCAAGTTGAATTATGCACTTTGGGGGATTTAATCATTTCCAAACTGAAGAGCCAGCTGTAAGTTTGACAGGAAGAGTTTATTTAAATAGCTCTGCTTCATGCTTCCTTGGACTTCAAGATTTTAAGGACCCTTCAGCTTGAAAGCGGATGTGGCATTGATCACAACTCGATGGGAAGCCAGTAAAGCACTAAGTATTCCGAGAGCCTTTGAAAACTGTTGAATTGTCCAGCACGACATTGTCTAGTGTTGATTTTAAGATTTCAGTGTTATAAAACCAGAGTTTTTGCAGCAATTTAAAATGTAGTGAGATTTAGGTGGCCAGGTAACATTCAGAACACCCAGTTAAATGTGAATTTTAAGTCAGAAATTAATGACTCTGTTATTAGTATAAACATGTCCCAAACATTACATGAAATACAATTAAACTTAAATTGTTTATTTTTTTAAGTAGAAGTGTAAATTTAGCTACTTTTTCATTTGATAACTGGGATAACCATTGACAACCTCCCTCTTTTGAGATTTGTACAAAAAAGGGATGGAACGTTTAAGCCATTCATTCACAGTACCATGGGTCACTTTTGAGAAAACATTCAAATTTCATTTAACAAGTATATGCATGTGAAAAAATGTGTTGGGTGAATCATATATGTTAAATTAAAATTTCAAACACCCAATATTATTTTCTTAAAGTATTAATTTCCACTAAAATCTTGCTTCTTTTTCCTTTTAAATCTTGGGGAAGCATATGGAGCATAGAACTTACATCCTTTAAATAAGGGAAATGAAGCAAAGAGTTTTCAGCATTGAATGTTACCCTCATTCTTCCCAAAGGAAATCTACTATTGTACCATTGTACCACTGGTTTTTAAAAAAATTTATTAGTACATAAAAATTTGCTTCCAGTACATAGCGATTACCATCCTCGTGGGGAGGTCTCATGGGTGCATACACATCTCAGTCCTTTGTTCCTCCTCTTCCCCCTCCATTCTCTCTCCTTCCCTCCAGCTCTTGATCCTTCCCACTGAGAAAGATCTATCTCTCTGCTTGCTACTATCTATCTATTATCTTACTCTTTATTTATATTTTGAGCTTCTCATATAAGAGAAGCTGTATGATATTTAAGCTCGTGTGTCTGATTTATTTCATTTAACCTTATAGAAATCTACCGTTGTTAAATTGTGTAACTTCCAATCGGCTGCAGTGTGTTTTTTCCTGTATGTGACTCTTGATTCAGGTTTAGAGTGAATTGGTAACTCCTTGATGTGACTGCTCCAAAGCCCTGCAGGAAAAAAGCAATTCGTGAAAGACAGTCACCATTCTTCACGAACCAGCCTGTGCATAACATGAAAACTCTTTAGGTGTTCGTTGCCTGTAGGCACTGGAGGGTTAATTGAAATATTGTTTTCTGAAAATTGGGTTGTCATGTAGCAGTGGAAAGCAAGATTCGGATGTGTGTGAGGATTTGGTTTCATTTTGCTTTGCTTTTGTTGCTGTTTTCAAGGAAATGGCCCTCTGTTGCCTCTTAATAGTGAATATCTTTCTGTTGAAGTGTCTTATCAATGTTAATCACTTGTATCTTGTAATTACTTTCTGTGTTTTTTTTTAAAAAATCTATCATATTTATGTGTTTCACTTAAGTACATTTCATTTATTTCTATGAAACACTGTCCATACAATAGAGAAAAAGAAAAAATTATAGGAACAAATAAATAAATAAAAGAATGCTGAAAATATTTCTATGATATTGAAACTAGTACTGAGATATATTTTAAATTTTTGCTTAAGTTGTCAATTATGAAAATAATAAAACTTTTAAAATATTTGACTTTACTAGAACTATTTATAAGGCATATGACTAAAGAAAGTATAGAAAGATTTGAAAAGTTGTATTAGTCAGGTTTCTATTATTGTAACAAACACTCAGGATAACCAGCCAATAAAAAGAAAAGAAGTACGTTGGTTTACAGTTTTAGGGATCCCAGTTCATGGTTAATCGGCAGATGCTTTGGGGCCTGTCAAACAGCAGTACATTGTGGTGGGAGCAGGTGGCAGTGCAAAACTTTAACACTACTATGACATTATCCAAGTAGCCCAACTTTCAGACGCATGGGATAAGCTAGAGAGAGTGGAAGCCGGGCTGTCGTGCTGGGGACCCTCTCCACTGACATCTACTGGAACAAGTTCCCAAGGCCTGGCAGTTGTTGCATGGAGATAGGATTCTATCCCAGTGAGGCCTGGAATCCTGCTGCCTCTTGAGCTGTACTGCAGGAAACAAGAACCTGGGAAGACTCAGGAAAAGAAGGAATTCAGAGTCCCAATCTTCTTTAAAGATTCCCACTCCATTCCAGATTCGCAATCTGGCTCATTTCGCAAACCACAACTCTCTTAGTGCTTTACGTCAGTATTAGTTCAGTCTGCATTTCATTGGAAGGAGGGGAAATGCTGAAGAGGTTTGGAAATATGAATCCTAGTCCAGCTCTATTCAGTGTCCAGTGCATTCATTTGTCTTCTTTGTTTTGATTTTCTGTTTATAAAAGGACATATATTAATGTACTACTTAGAAAGTATGTGTAATGCTTTAGAAAAATAATGATGGTATTGAGCCCAATTTTTGCTTTTAAATCAAAAGTCACACAATACATGTAGCAGCAAAGAGAAAAGTCTCTTCTTTTTTCCAGCAATAGGAACCAGCATTGGAAATTGCCATCTATGGATGGGGATGGCCTGTTGACATCAGGTGGAATCAGGCCCCACTGATCACAGGGAGACAGAAAGGACCGTGTGGACCCCATTCAAATAAGAACAAAACACTGCAGGTTGCAGCAGGCAGGAGCAGCCTACTGAGCCCACTTGTCATTGTGTTGCAGGTGGACCTGGGCCTCCTACGCTTTGTCACTGCTATCGGAACCCAGGGTGCCATTTCCAAGGAAACGAAGAAGAAATACTACGTTAAGACTTACCGAGTAGACATTAGCTCCAACGAGGAAGACTGGATCACCATCAAAGAAGGAAATAAACCTGTTGTAAGTTTGGCTGTCATGCTTAACCGATTCAGTCTTTTAAATGGATGATCAATTTTTACTTGTTTGTTTTGGAGCTTGCTGTCTGACCTGGTTTATTTTTAAATTGATTTAAAATGAAAAGAGCAATTAGAGGTATAAATCTGACCAAGGGGTCTCATGTTCCCAGATCTAGAAGCCAAGTGGAAATTACAGTGAATGCTTCCAAGAAAAGTCAATATCAGCCAAATGAAGTGACAGACTCAAGGATCACTTAAAACCTCCCAAGGGGATGCAGACCGTGTATAGGGCAGACCCTGTCCTGTGTGAACCTTCAGAAATGTATTTTTAGTTTTTTTCCACATATATTTTTTCATTCCCTTTCATCAATTCTTTCTTTCTTCCTCTCTGCAATGGGCTGGTTTTAGAAAACACCTTCTCATCTACCCTCAGTGGTTCATAGACTAATTTACAAGTGCGTCTGGCTGTTTCTTTTTGGAAACAGAGAACTAAAGGTATTTCATTGTTGTGCTCCTTCCAATCACACAAATAATGCTTTCTACCAAGGAAGCAAATCAGATTTCCCCAGGTGCTTTTCCCGCAATCCTTTTCTCTCTCAGTTTATTTGAAGTTCTACTTCCTCTGATTTGCTAATCAAAACATGTTGGAGAATTCATCTTCACTGTTTTCCTAAAATTAAAAGTTTGCCCTGGAGACAGAGCCAAACACAAAAAAAAACTGACAAAGATAGTGGCAAAGATTCAGGTATCTTGAAATTAGGAACTTGGAAAGAAGCCGATAAGTATGTCCTTGTCTGACTTTCAAGCATTCGTGGCCTTGATTTTCTCATTCTGGGTCTGGAACTGAGAAAAGCCTCTGGAGTATGAAGTGAAGGAGGAACTATTCAGCTTCTCTGATTGACAGTAAAACCCTCATTTCCACATAGGCTCAGAAGGATAGGAGCAGATATAGGTGGATTGCTGCCCCGTGGGAAAGGTCAAGACAAGTTCCAGACCCATCCAACCTGGAGGATGTGGTATCAGGGAAAGAAATCTGGACAGAAAAAAATCCCATAGTCCATGTTTATGGAAATTGAGGAGGTTCACTATGACTCAGTGGATGGAGCTGTTGTGAGCACTAGAAGATTCTGGAAGAGTCTGTGCAGGCATACAAAAGGGGTTCCAGGGAGGGAGGCAGAAAGAATAGGGAAGATCTTGCAGAGCTATAAACTGGACCTCTGTCTGAGGACTTTACAGAACCAAAATGGACTGAAAGCATCCTGTGGAAGTCCAGTCATCACTGCCCACCTCCTTTTCTCTGTCCTTTGAGACCTTTTCAGCAGCAGTCTTCTCCCATCTTACCTGCTTCCTCTGTAGGAACCTCTCTAGGTTGACAGAATGTGTGTGCACTTACACGCTTGTCAGTACCAAATGGGGAGTTCCCTTCTTGCAAGCAAAATGTGCACAGCACTCCCGCCTGGCCTCTGGAAAAGGCCCGCTGTCTGTTCAGACAGTAACATCAAAGCGGGCTCTATGCCTCCTGGCTGCCGTCCCCACTTTGCTACACAAAATGTTCCCACATGGGCTGTTTCCAGAGAGAGAGATGCTGAAGCAGGACAGGAAACTCAAGGCCCTCACATGCGAGGATGAATTCTGGTATTAAATCACCATTTGACCACCTCTGCTTGGACAGGCCACTTAAACCAAATGAAGCAAAAACTCCAGCTAAACTCACAAGCCATTGAAGCTGGAGGGAAAAGTGACCTTCAGGAACATGCAGTTCTTCTCATGGGCCCACTGGAAATGATGGGGACAGTTTGCACACCCCAGAACCCCACAGCACACTGGTTGGGCACCTGAGAGGCTATGCATAGGAGCACAGCTAGGGTACACAGAGCACAGTGTTGAGAATGGTTACTTCCACACAGGCTGTCCCACAGCAAACACCGAGATCCAAGAGACCAGGGGCTCTCACTCCCCCAGAGGTTTGTCTAATGCCAGATGTTCATACGATGACAAATGTCTCCCTCCTTTGGAGACCTTGGAGACAGCTCTGCTGCAGCCCTGTAAAGGGGCAGAGTGGCCTCATAGGACACAGTGGGAAACTTGTTCATACTTGATCCTTGTGACATTGGTGCTCACGCACTTTGCCTTCCTGAGAGTAAAATGACTCATTTTAAAACTAGAAGCCCTGGGAAAGCTGATTTTCCGTTAAAAATCATTCATAATTCATTTTGACTTTGGTCACTAAAATAAAATTTTACCAATAACCCAGAAGGATTAAAGTCATTAACTCAGGTCCAGGATAAGATCTTTCATCAAGAAATGGTGTCAAAAAGGAGAATATGGCTTGACTTAGTGCTCTAGCCAGGAACAAAACCTAAATTCTAAAAAGCCAGATCCTACATTAAACTCCAAAAGCATTTCTTCAGGGACTTCGGGGGCAGTGAAATGCTGAGAGTCCCTGAGAAATGTCTGCAGGATTCTGTAGGTCCCCTGATAAAGTTAATATTTTTTATGATAATAGCATGTGTCCGTTAATAATTGTCATTTTGGTAACTGTGCTTTTAGAGGCTGTAGCCTCTCCAAAAAACCAAATAGCTGATTAGGACAACATTCTGCTAGGACCGATTCTTCTCATTACTGCCATTTGGAAAAAACACAGCAAGTTTAATGCTGCTTCAAACTCAATAGACACATTAAAATTATGACTAATTTTCGTGTTTGTGAAAACATTTTTTAAATTCACTTTAAATACAAAAAGAATCTGTTAATAAAGGATAATCTTTTCCCATATAGATCTTCCAGGGAAACACCAACCCCACAGATGTTGCTTTTGGAGTTTTCCCCAAACCACTGATAACTCGATTTATCCGAATCAGACCTGTGACTTGGGAAACTGGGATCTCTATGAGGTTTGAGGTCTATGGCTGCAAGATAACAGGTAAGCTCCAGCTGAAGATTGCCCCACTGAGGTCTAATGGAAAGCTTTAATACAGGGAGAGTAACTGTAGCAATATGATCGTATTTCTTGGGCAGTTAAGAGCATATAGTTTAAATTTAGATAAATTTGAACTCAAACCTTACGTTGCTATTCAGTAGTCTGTCTGTTTGGACAATATGCTTAGATTTCAAACCCTTGGTTATTTCACCTGGAAAATAGTCATAGTACAGCTCATCACACAAGCTCCTTGTGATGATGGATAGAATCGTGAGTATAAAGAATTGGGCACATGCAGATGGCATGTGATGGGCATGTGGTACTTCTTAAACTAGACTGGGAGCTCCTTGAAGATGAGTTATATGCTTTGCATTATTACTTAGGAGATTTACAGTAGATAGCTCCTCTGTGAAATGTTCTCCACTGACTTTCTCTTATTAATTTTGAAACATAGAAGGAAGCCTCATCAGCTACACTTAATGAGCGTAACTTAGAATTTCTCCTTTTACTCACTAACCACCTAGATAACTCTGCCTTAGGTTTTAGGTATCTATTTATTGAATGAAGATACTGTACTAACACTTCAACTCAACTAATAAACAGTTTTCTGATTTTTAAAATTTGTTTTTTTCAATATCAATGGGACTTTAAAATTCCTCCATTTAACATGGAATAAATTCATGGAGTAATCCCTTTGAGAGATGAAGAAAGTGATGTACTCAGAGGTTAAGTGCTGGAAAAGTAGGACAGGACAGGGCAAAGCTGGAAGTCGGCAAACATCCTGGCTCTCCTTCTGTGGCTCTCAGTGCTGCTCTGAATTGTTTGTTGACTTCACTGCACTTCGTCTTGTTTCGTTTTGTTTTTGTGGTGATGGGGCTGGAACCTAGAACTTCTTGCACGCTAGGTAAGCATTCTACCATTGAGCTACATCTTCAGCCTGATTACTTTGTATTGTGTTGTAACAGACAATCATGTTCAAATTCCTTTCCTCATCGATAAATATATCAAAAGCTTCCATGAGCAAAGCAACAACAACCAAAAACCCAGTACAGATGGGATCTTCGTAGTAATCTTAAAAGTTGAAAATCTGAACCAGTAGACTGATTCACTGGGTAGAAGTGAAGAACTTCTGTGATCAGCCTTTTAATATAATATTAGTGTACATATTAAAGGTATTTCATTTTTATGTTTGTGCTCTTCATATGATTATTTTAAAGAAAGAAAATATTGACCTTTCAAGGAAAAAATATCACCTTGAGAATTTTCCATAAATTTGTAAGAAATTTGGAGACAACCTCATAAACAGTGAAAAACTCACTCGTTCAGAGTGCCATCTGATTTCATTTCAAAATTCTATTTATTTCCATCCCAAAGGCAGATTTGTTTATTATCCTATGATCTAAGACTTAGAAAATTCAAGGCCTTGCAAACAGGAATTGGGTGAAAAGGGGTTTGGAAGAAAAAAAACTTAATGAAAAGCCAGATATAACCTTGGTTTTATTTCTGATCACCAGTTACATGACAGAAAGTTCTAGGTCATTTCAGAGCATGACAAATTTAAGAGGCTACCCATAAATTTGTAGGAACAAGGTCTCTTGAGGTTTTGGTGGAAGTCTCTGGCCCATTTCTCCAACCTTATCTCATTTCACTATATTTTTAAAACTGAAATAACCTTTATAAAGACTCCAAACATGTTAGCCTGAACTCTGAACTCTAAATTTCTAACCTCTCAAAGATATATGTCATATCCTTTGAGTTAAACAAGGTACTTGTTTGAACCCAAATAGTCCTTTTTAATTTTGACAAAGATTTCCCAGGAGGTAATTCTAGGAATGTGAGCAAAGGAGACAAATAATTTATTGAACTTTAAAATAACAATTAAACGACCTAGTTATTGAAACATAGGTGCTTTCTTGAAAGAGGATATTTTAATATTTCAAACATAGTCTATTTTGCAATTATTTTAAGGGGCCAATTTTTTTTTCAAATAAGATTCTGCATTTAGAATCAAGTTTCAGTTCTCTTAATCATAACCATAATATACTTTTTATTATAATGATTCAGTCTTACCAATCATACAAATCGAGGGCTCTCACTGTAACAATGCAAAAAGGTGTGCACTGTACTGTGACCCAATCCATTGTCCCTATCATCCTCTCATGCCCCCACCTCCCCCCTTCTTTCCCCAAAATCTGCCCTCTCTTTGCAGCTCTTTTTGTTTAAAGTTTCCTCAAATGAGAGAAAGCATGCAATACTTATTGTCAGTTACCACAATAAACCCTGATTGCATCCATTTCCCTGAAAATGCCATATTTCATTCTTCTTTACTAAATAACGCTCCATTGTGTATATTTACCTCATGGTTTAGCCCATTCTTCTGTGGACAGGCACCTAGACTGATCCAGTACCTTAGCTATTGTGAGTAGCACCACAAGAAGCAGGAATATGCAGGTATCTCTTTGGTGTGCTGACTTCATTTCCTTCAGAAATATACCCAGAAATGGCATGGCTAGATCTCATGGTAGCTATTTTTGTTTTTTCAAGGAGTCTCTGTACTGTTCTCTAAATGGCTCTGCTAATTTACAAGGTCACTAGCAGTGGATAAAGGTCCCTGTTTTTCCATATCCTCATTAGTTTTGCTTTTTTGTTTCTGTTATTTTTGATAGTAGTAGTCAGTAGTATTTAATTTTAAATAGTTTTTGCCTCTAATAAGATAGCTATTCTCTGTTGGATCATTGAACGAAACTGTCTCCAATTTCATTGTATGAATGTCTACTTTATATGCTTTAATTTTGTAATTTGGACAACTGTCCCTGGGAAGATAATATGTAACCTATTAACTGGTGATTTCTTACTATATATTTTTTTCTTGAAATACTGTATTATTTGTACCCTTTTACTGCTTTTTTTATGTCCTTTGTTTTTTTCTCTTTAAATAAAAAAAAAAGATAGCTATTCTCTCCAGTTGATTGATAGAGGTTTTTGAGAGGCCCTGTGTTCTACCAATGATTACAGACAGAAGTTACCAGAGATGTCCAGGACCATGGATGGGCAGGGCATATTGTCTCTCTGATCTCAAGTCTCTCATCTCTAAGGTTAACCTTCGTGCAGCTGTGATGATGATTAAAAGAAAAAAATATTTGAAATATACCTGGCTTAGAGTATCTGTTGACTGAAGTGTACGCAGGAAAACAGAGCAGGACATGCTACTCAATAAATGGAAGCCAGGAGAAGCCACAGCAGAGCTTCGATAGGAGAGTACTAGTGTTGTCTTCCTGGTTACCAGAATGTTCTCCGTTTTGAGCCCCCTGTTCCCTCAGAGTGCAGATCCATAAAAGAACATGGCTGCCGGACCTCTGCTGGGAAACAAGACACAGCAGAGCAGGGCCTCTCGTACCTTTGCTCTGCTGTGTCCCTGGACATAAGTGTGCAGTGGCTACTTCTGAGTGAATGAATAAATTACAACTCTGCCTGTCCCTTGTGACAAATAGCCTCAAAGTTCCAGCCTCTCCTGCTGAGCAGGCAAGTCCTAACAATCAGGAAAAAGTCTCCAAATGATGCATGCCTGTAATCCCAGCACATGGGAGGCTAAAGCAGGAAGATTGTTGTGAGTTTGAGGTCCACCTGGACTACAAATTGAGTTCAAGACCAGCCTAAAAACCTTGTCTCCAGAAAGACCAAAAAACCACCAAATCTACCAGATTAAAAATTACCATTAGAACATATCATTTGGTTTCCAAACCATTCAGAGCCCCAAGTTTTAACCTAATTTTTGCTTTCAGAAATTACTTTTGTAGAAATATAGCAATCTAAGAAAAATCCAGAATATACAATGTTGTGTCACCATGGAAAGATATAAAGAAAATGAGATTGGAGCAAACAATTCTGCTTTATAGGTGTTTGCTGAAGGAATATTTTCATTATTTTGACGAAGTGAAATTCCTCCTTTCGGCAAAGGAAGAACTTACTAAAAATACTGTTGGAAGGTTATTGTTTTATGGATGAGAACACACCTGGAACTCGCTGTCTAGGGTGTGTTAACCAGAAGACTGTTAGCTGGTCTGCCGAGTAAGTTCCTGTGCTCCTAAGTCACTCAGAGGTCACAGTGGCCACCTCAGACATGGCAAGCCAGGGTTCTTCTGAGTCATCAGGGGAAGGTTAAATTATGCTCATTCAGGAACCTTCATGACACTCAGTTATTACCTTCTAATTCTTTAAAAGCTGGTTAACTGGACATTTGACTTACCAAATATATCTCAGGCTTCCTGTGAAAGCTGAGTACAGATTTTGTAATAAAATACTGTTACTGGAAAGAGCCATTTCAATCCCTAGTATAGACCTCTCCTCTCCCATCCAAGATTGATTTCAAGCTTTCCCAATAGAGTTGCTGGGCAAAATATGGAATGTCCAGTTGTACGTAGTTCAATAATTGCTTAGCAAGGTATGTCCCCTGCATTGCATAAGGTATACTAAGACATCTTGAGCATTTTTTCTGGAATTCTAATTTAAATGAGCATCTTTTGTTGTTTGTTTGTTTGCTATATGTGACACTATCTGAACCTTTCCAAAAGGTTCATGTAGCCAAGCATACTGAACCAGCCTGCCATGAAAGAACAGAGTGAGAAACAACTAATACATCAGTTAAACCTAGAATTGTTAATATAAGTTTTTTCCTAATCATTGTTAAAACAGTCAGATCAAGGTGCCTTCTCATTGTGGACTTTCTTGCAGGGAAAGAGTGAGAGAAGCAAGCAGTCAGAGAAGAGGAATGATACTGTCCTGGTGTAACTGCATCATGGATTTGTAGGCTGGTTGGCAGCTGGGTACCACTAGGTTTATGGAGATGTAAAGTATGTTCAAGCCAGCTCTGCAGAGAACAGGCATTAGCCTGGTGAAGGTTCTGCTTTCGTTACAATATCCAAGTTAATTCTGTTTTTCTCCAAATGGTAACATCTGGTCCCCATTACCAGCTAAGCACTGCCTTTATGAAAGCTGGTTTTGAATCAGGCAGGTGTGACCACTGTGGCCCAAAAAACGTGACTTCTATTTTTAACACTATAGTTTCACAGTCCCTCTATAAGAGTTTTTGTAAATCTTTTTTTAATCTTCTCTGAGTATATTCTTGGTTTCCAGATTCCAGACTGCAGCAAACCATGTGGCTGAATGACGGGCAGGGCACTTGAGAAAATGACAGCTCCCTCTGATTGTATTAAGAAGTTGATTCATTCAGCAAATATTTGTTGAGGACAGCAATGAATAAAACGGAGAACAAAGACTCAGAGAAAATTTTAAAAATATGACTTGGTTCCCACTCTCTAAGGAATTAAAAATATGAGGAAGAGAAGAGCAACCATCTACAAATCTAAATATGGTCAACAACAGGGAAAAAGCAGATCAACGTTTGCAAAGAGCTAGAGAAAAGGCAAACTTGTCGAGAGAGGAAAAGTTGGATAAGTGAGGTAGTGTTGGAAAATGAGTTAATGATTTTATAGCAATCAGATATTTGGAGAACAATATGATGGGTAATTCTTGGTGGAAAGAAAGGAGAGAACGCTTCCCTTCCTCAATTGGCTCTAATAACGGGAGTGAGGGAGGAGAGGTGTTGTAAGGTGATGTGGAGATTATGCCTACTTCTTAGCAAACGTGCATGACACAGGGTAGAGGTGCCTTGATATGATCTGCACAACTCATGCAGCAAGTATCTGAGTAATAATTCTGAAGAATCAACTGACAACATAAGTGTAGCTTGATTGCATCAGGAACATGCCTGTAGGGCAGTTGTATTTTTAGGCTAAATTTATATTGGATTATGCAGAATTGAGTTTCTTAAGAGAAAAATAGGGTGTCTTTCCTGGGGGCATCTTTTACTGAAATGTATACTTTTGAAGAAGAATAATTGAAGTGTTAGTGCTTTTGCTATTAAGCCACCAGTTAGTCAGTGATTGATATTCTCCTTGTGCTCAGAAACTCATTGGGCTGCTGTACCATATATTGTCTTAGATCCTTTTCTCATTGCTGAGGCAAAATACCCAACACCCACAGTTAAAGGGGAAAAGGATTATTTTGCTCACAGTTTGTAGGGATTTTGTACCTACAGCTGGCTCCAAGGCAAGGTGGCTTGGCAGAGGGGCATGAAAGAGTAGAACTAGTTCAGTGTTACAAGCAGAAGACAGCAAAAGTAAGCAAGCAAAAGACAATCATAGTTCTGTCCCCTTTTTGTTTTATCCAGGCTATTTAGGGCAGATGGCACTTTACCCTTAACAGTACCTTTAACCCTAGCATTGCACAGTGGGTCAATCCCAGTGTCACATACTCTAGATCCAGCCACCTCTGAAAAAGACCCACCTTTGACTGCATGAGGCTTTGGGGGGACATCTAGACACAATCATAACACATATGAAATGTTCAGTTGCTTTTAAGAATCTTCTAATCTAGCTGTGGACATGAAACTAACAGTCTTACATCTACACAATAGTTGTATACTGAGCTTATGTTACTCACTGTATCTATGATAGTAGCTCTCAGAAAGGACTGGAGCAGTTTGAAGTCTTCATGATGAGTCTTGAGATTAGGTGTAAAGTTTAGAACAAAACGTGAGAGAGACTTACAGGAACATTTAGAACAAAAGTGATGTGAGTGTGACACTGTGCCCATGGTATATGAGAAGAGGATTGTTTGACTGGAACACATTATGAGTTATTCAATAAAATGAGACAAATGAGGTGAAACCACAGTGAGCACCCTGAAACCCTGATAGTTTTGATATTCTCCCAAAATGTACAGAGACATGGTACTTTTTTTTAAAAGATAAGTCTTTTTATTATGCTTGTAAAATATACGACATTTTAGGGCACACAGTTCAGCTGTTTAAATAGAATCACATTGTAGTACAGTTCCAGGGCTTTGTGCTCATCCTAAACTGAAACTGTACCATTAAACACTAGCCCTCCATTCTCCTCTCCCCAGTCCCTGCATTCTACTTTCTGTTTTGATATCTGCCCAAGGAACCTCGTATCAGTCCTTTTTGTGTCTAGCTTATTTCTTTTAGCAGTGGAGATTTCTGAGCACATGGGAATAACGTGGCAAAAATCAGTATTTCCTGAAAAGTTACACGGCAGTTAGTGTCGTGTAGACGTGGAATTAGAGTGTAGGAAGCCAACCAAAAAATCCTTTCGCATCCTGGCCATGATAGGATTTTAAAACAAAACGGGAATAGAAAATGGAAAGCAGGAAGTGACAAGGTGACAAGGCAGAAACTATTGAGGATGCCACCCCACAGAAACATAAGGTTCAGTAAAGGGCTTCGGCCTCCAGGGGGACAGACGGGTGCTGTCTACACTGGTCCACTTGAGATGACAGTTCCGTATCCCTGTGGAAGGAGCCGATGCAATGAGAGACGGGGTGGGAGGGTAGTGGAGAGGAAGGTGGACACCGTCCCTCCACACTGAGCCCAAATGCCACTCGCCGGGGAGTGGCCCTCTCTGCTCTCCATCGAAGCCGTGCTCTTTCTTTGTCTTCTCCTCTTGGTCACCTTTTCACTTTGGTTTCAGCAGCTCTCTTGCTATTGGGTTTAATTCTTTCCGTATCTCCAGCCCATCGTAAACTATGAACTTCCGTAGGCAGCACCTGCTTATCTGGAAATACTTTTTGGATAGTGAAGAGACTGGGCGCTCAGTGGTCTGACATTAAACTTAGCCAAAGTGAGAAGCAGGAGAAATGGGTGTGCTTGATGAAGATTTCCTTCACTGGGGTGTGTGTGAACAGGTGGAATCTGAAAGAGTAGGGGCAAGGTTTAAGAGGACATTGTTGAATGTAAAATGATCCAGAGATTGAACAGATTACATCCGTGGGTTCCAGACACTGTTTTCAGTAGACTGCTTTTCTTTCTAAGCCTGGTGTCTCCCAGAAAATAAGTCGTCTCTTTTGTTTCTTGCCACCTCTAGATTATCCCTGCTCGGGCATGCTGGGCATAGTGTCTGGGCTTATTTCTGACTCCCAGATCACAGCCTCCAACCAAGGGGACAGAAACTGGATGCCGGAGAACGTGCGCCTGATGAGCAGCCGCTTGGGCTGGGTGCTGCCCCCCGCCCCGGCCCCTCACAGTTATGCCAGCGAGTGGCTGCAGGTGGATCTGGGGGAGGAGACGATTGTGAGGGGCGTCATCATCCAGGGCGGGAAGCACCGGGACAACAAGGTGTACATGAGGAAGTTCAAGGTCGGCTACAGCAACAACGGCTCCGACTGGAAGATGATCATGGACGACAGCAGGCGCAAGGCCAAGGTGAGGCCCGGGGCGGGTGGGAGGCACCCCGCGCCCTCCCCTTAACCCAGGAGCCCCAGCCCTCCCCGAGTCAGAGCTGGTTCTTGCTTTGCCAGGAATCCCCCTCCCCTGGCCTGTGGTAGTGAGGAGGGGAAGATGGCACTGCAGATGGTGTCTGATAAACAGGGCAAAGTTTGTCCCCTGCCCTGGCTGTGGGAGGATGGGCGGCTGGGCACTGGAACAGGAAATGGGGCGACAGTGGGCACAGGAGCTGACAGCATCAAACCACAAAGCCTTTCTACAAACTCTGTGCTTTAGGTCGGGCTTCTCTTCCTACCCTCCACTCCACACCTGGTTTAAATAGTTTCTTTCTTTCTTTCTTTCTTTCTTTCTTTCTTTCTTTCCTTTCTTTCTTTCTTTCTTTTTTCTTTCTTCCTTCCTTTCTTTCTTCCTTCCTTCCTTTCTTTTTTTCTTTCTTTATTTCTCTTTCTCTTTCTCTCTCTCTCTCTTCCTCTCCCTTTCTTCCTTCCTTCCTTCCTTCCCTCTTTACTGAGGTTGTAGGCATGCTAGACAAACACCCTTCCACCCTGAGCGATACCCCTCCCAACTCCTTTGGGAATTTTTTCATTTTTAATTGTGGTAAAATATATATAATACAAATGTTGCCTCTTTAACCTCTTTCAGTTCCCATTTTAGTAGTGTCAAGTATATTCACAATGTTGTGCAATGAGCCTCCAGAACTTTCTCACCTTGCAACAGTGAAATTCCAATCCCATTAAATAACAACTCCCCATCCTCCTCCCCGGCCCCTGGCAAACACCATTCCACTTTCTTTCTCTGTGAATCAGAGTATTCTAGAAGCCTCACATAAATGAATCATACAGAATGTGACCTTTTCTGAATGGCTTATTTCACTCAGCATAATGTTTTCAGGTTTCATCCATGTTGTAGCATGTGTCAGAATTTTATTCATCTTTAAAGGTAAATAATATTCCATCGTATATAGACTCCATATTTGGTTTATGCATTCATTCATTTATTCACACTTGAATGCTTCCATCTTTTAACTATTGTGACTATTACACAAGTATATCCCCTTATGCATCTGGAACCTTTTAAAATGCTTTTGGCTTTGACAATACATCAAGAAGAGAAGGGAATCTCAATATAAAAATAAAACATGTGGAATAATTTTTTAACTGAACATATGTGCTTCAGTAATTAAGTCTTACTTAGGCTGGTGGTTGTGTTTGTTTACATTTCCTGAGCATGTAACACCGACTTGGAAAGGATTCCCAGAAGTCTGCTGAGTGGCCTGGAAGCTGATTTAGGAGTAAAATAAGGATCAGCCCACAGGCAGTTAGCATTTTAGGCTCTGTTTGTAGGGTGGGAATTGGGTTCAGCTGATGATACATTTCACACCAACACAGCTGCCCTTAACCTGCCCATCCATGCCTTGCCCAGGACCTGCTCCTGTAGAAGAAGAAAAGTTTAATTCATTGGAGAAAATATAACTCATTCCCACCCCACGGAGTGGGAGAACAGGGCTCAGTGCAATCACTCAGACCAAGGCTTTACAAGCAGGAAGTACAGTATGACCAGTTCAGTCAGCTCTTTAAGATGGGGGGGGGGCCTGCGAGGAAAGCACCCCATCTCCTACAGCCCGCAGGTCAGCTGGCCACTGGAAGAACCCATTCAGTCAAAATGTGAGAGTTTCTCCCCACTTCTCCTTGGTAACCTAGAGTTTCTGAAACGTCTTCCGAGTTACATATACCTACATGATGTGTTCAAAACATACAGAAAACATCAGGGCAGTAAAAGACACACGGCCACGAATCCTACTCAAAATAGTCCCTCTCATTCCCGCATGGTGGCGCACTCGGGAGGCTGAGGCAGGAGGATCATTGTGCGTTGGAGACCAGCCTGGGCTATAAAGTGAGCTCAAGGCCAGACTGAACTGCACAGTGAAACCCTGGCTCAAAAGGCCAAAAAAAAGGATAGTCCTACTCATCTCAAACATTCCATCCTTCTTGCAACTTTCTGCAGCAGTACTGGGAGTCTTCTTCCCTGAATGTCTTTGGTTGTGCTATCCTGACTTCCTCAATGACTAAAATCAGTTCAAAACATGTACCTTCATGGTCATTTTGACTTTGAGGAAGAACCAGAAGTCGGACAGTGTCAGGTCTGGTGAATGAGGTGGATAAGGACACCTTGTAATGTTTCTATTTGACCGAAATTGCTGTAAATAGGTAATCAATGGGCTGATCAAAAATGCAATGAATGTTTAAATTTCAAAAAATATTGCAGTAAAAGACAGGCTGCTGTTAATCCCCTTCCAAATCCCTCCCCTTGCAGGGAACACATGTATTCCTGATTTCTCACTAACCTGTCTTTTATCATAATAAATTTTTTAACTTAGACGTTCACCGTATGTTTCAGTCAATGGTTGCATATGCAGCAACATTCTTTGTTGTGTTTGTTTCACTTTCTCCTTTCATGTCCTTCCCTCTCTTCTTGGTGAAAGAAAAAGTAAAACGGTCAGCAGAAGCTGTCATTTCCTCTAAGCCGGTGTTTCCTGAGCACCAGGGAACTCTGCCTTCATCAGAGAGCTTGAATCCGTGGCAGATCAGCATCTCCTGGGGCTGCTGTCATGGCTGGGGGTGCTGTTGTGACGGGTTCTTCAACACCAGGGTTCTGAGAGAAAGAGAAAACAAATCACCATATGCTTTTGATAGGATCCATCATATGCTTCCTGTCTTTGTTATCTAATCCATGCGGCTGCCATCATGTCTAAAGCTGTCACTCTGTGTAGTAAATCGGGTACAGAATTTCATGAGAAGCCAGCGCACGTGTTTTAGCTTTAACAAAATACTCAAGATTGCTTCACGATGTTGGATTTTTATTCCTAAAATATCCATCACTATCATCTATCTATGGTACTTAAAACCACAAAAGCTCCTAAATTATTTATATAGTCTAATCTATGATTCCCAACATACCATTCCATTGAAATAAAATTTCCAAGATGAAAAAGGAAATTGGTAAAACCTTCCAATTCAGAGCAGCATATATTTTATATAAAGATACTTAAAAGTCGTGCAAATGAAGGTTACCTGCTTAAAATGCCAAGTACCTTTAATGTGAAAGGGAGATGGGCAGCCTGTTTCGTGAAATAAAATAGTGCTTGGGTGGTTTTTAAATCCTCTGTGCTGTCCTTTCATTCCCTTGACACCAAGCCATCACTGGGTAGACCAGATATATCAGACTCTTTAATGAACTCCACTTTTCAAGAACAGAGTTAAGCCAAGCCCCTTCTGTCTAAGACATGGTTAGTCACAGAACACAAAGATAATTCCTCGGCAAATTCCTGTTATCAAAGATTGCTGATATTCTTCCCAGCTCACCACTGACAGCTTTTCTAATGAGGTCCCATTGTGTTGTTCCTTTCCTCAAGTTAAAATTAAGAGAGGGAACTGGGATTCCATAGATATCAGTGCCTTTCTGCTCTTATCTCTGGAACTATGTGAACTAAAGAGAACTTACATGTTAAGTGATGGTGTTTTCATTATAATTAGCACCGTACTGACAACAACTTAATTAGGCCTAACAATAATGTATGTCATATTCTCAATTACTGGTAGCTACTGAGGCTGTATTAAGAGTTCAGGACACTGATAGTGAATTTACTCCTTTAAAAAACAGAAGAAAATTAATTGCAAGAGGCAGCTCTGTTTTCATATTACAAGTGGCTTTGCTGAGTTGGAAAATGCCAATTAATTTACTTCTAGAACTCAGAAAACCCCTTGGTTTGTCATAACCCACCCAATCTGCTTGTCTCCATCTACACACATCTTGTATTTTGCCAAGAATTTCCCTGAATGAATGATCACATTTTGGCAACTTGTAATGTCTTGACCCAGCCATCAGGCATGGTCCCATCCATCACCAGTGTGGCCCCGGGCCACTCCATCTGGTCCACCAGACCTCACAGCCAGCTTGCACCAAGTTAAAGACAAATTAATGGTGCTAAATGATTTCCTTAGGCATAAACAATTCTTGGGCCTCAGTGTTCTCATATATTAAAGCAAGAAAGTAGAGGCTGGGCATAGTGACCTGTGCCAGTAGTCCTAGCTACATGGCAACTGGGGAGGCTCACTTGAGTCCAAGAATTAGTGACATTTGGAGACAACTCCAGTAACTCCCCTTAAATGCAAAACAATTACTGCAATTTTGATTATTATTTGGAGACTTATTTCCTTATACTAATATGTAAAGAGCTGGCTATGATATTTCATTCTCTCCTCAATTGGCTGTAAGCATTACAAATAAGGCTAGCAGAGGTGCTGGTATGTAATCTCTAAAGCCAATAGACAGTCCTGTTTCCTCACATAGTGTTCTCTATGTAGGATATAAATACAAAATATGAGCACAGCGGGATGTAGAGCCATTAGCTCCAAAAATGTCACTGGCTATGAGCATAGCTCCAAAAATGTCAACTAAGAGCCTCAAGGTAAAGAGGCTATGACTCTCCAGGCCACAGTAGTTTACATATAAAAACTAAAGCGACAGCCTCCCAAATCAATTGTTACATAATCTATTGATTATGTAAATTGATCTTCTGCATATCTCTTTCTCTCACCTGGCCAGCCAGCTCAAGTTATTCACATATTTCCCGCCATCCTCACTGTCACTCATCCCTGAGCCTCCCCCATTCTTCACAACATAATAAATTCTGGGAGAGGCCTACGATCAAGGCCTTTGTCCACATGTCCTCATGAGTATTGGACTTAGGACACGTTGGCTGCTCTTAACTTAGAATATGTCTTGGTGTCTTTACTCTCTCCATGGTGGTGGTGGTTAAAATTAACTTGTTGGGATTCCAATAACATCTCAGTAGGATTACAAATACAACTTTCTGGATTGTGAGAAAAATGAAAAAGAGGATTCTAATACTTGGATAACTGAACTCAATATCTAGGATTAATAACAGCGACATAGCAAAAAGCCCTCTCAAAATACTTTATGTTTCAGTGCTGAGGGTCAAGCCCAGGGTCTCACGTATGGTAAGCAAGTATGCTGCACTAACCACCCCACTGAGCTGCACCCCTACCCTCTAGATGCCTAAGATGCCTAAGAGCAGAGGTGTCTTAGTGCTGTGGTTAAGACTACCAGCTAAAGCTGCCTGGCTTGGAATCCTCTCTCTCTCTTGTACTGTATGTGGTATGGCCTTGGCCAAATTTCTCAGCTGCTCAGTGGTTCAGTTTCCTTGTTTGTAGAAGATAGGTGATATAGCGTTTACTTCCTAAAGCTGTTTTGAGGATTGCTTGAGAATCTATCTTAAGCACTGAAAGCAGTCCCTTACACCAATAAGCATCATACCATATTTGTTATAAACAGATGTTTCCTACTGTGAGACCATTTTACTGTTCTATGCTCTCTCCTTGCTCCCATTCTCGGTCAAATTAAGACTGATGTTAGGAGAAGAGGCTGTAGGGATACTTCCCCCATTTCTGGAAAAAGCAAACAGACTTGGTCATTGCTATTTTCCTATTATGCCATTCATTGATTTTGGTCTTTTCATCACCGTAACAAGGCAAATAAAATAATCTATTGGTGACTCTAGCAACGGGTGGCCTGGCCCTTGCAAAATGTCATAGTAACTCCATGTTAGAGTTGCACTTCAAAAGAGGGCCAAGATATGAGCAGGTAAGCCAGTATTCAGAACATCACTTAATAGTCAAGACCCTGACTGTAGATGAGAACATCTTTTAAGTGACCAGTTGGCGACCCTGCTTAAACTAACAGTGATTTCAAAGGGTTGGAATAACCCCAGTTTTGAATAGGTTGTATTTGTACTAAATTAAATGTTCTGCCCCTCAGTCAAGAGTGTAGCTCAGTGGTAGACTGTGTGCTTATTATGAGCAAAGCCCTGTGTTGCTTCCCCAGCAGTGAATAAAATAGTAATTACTATTTCCTGTGTCTGAAATCTAATTCCTTTTCAAAGGACCAAGTTCTAGCAAAACTAGGACCCGCTCATTTCAGAGACCCTAACTGGAATATTCACTGAAAATGTGGCAACTGTGATAATCTCTGAGAAAAGGCAGGTTCACTTCCTGAATTATCTTCCTCCACCTCAAGGAAGTGATAAAAATGTCACTTCTCCAAGACATAGCAGCATATCATATAAAAATATCTCATTAAATCCACAGCTTCTGGTGTAGCTTCAGCATGTACAGGAAGGTTGCTAAGAAATGGCATCTGTCACTTCTTACACAGTTTGTTTCTTTCTCATTTATAAAAGAAATGCCAGCCGTTTAGGAAGTGGTGGAGTGCGGCCAAGTTTTCTACCCTATTAAGAGTCCTGAAGGAGGTGAATGAGTTCAGGAAATGCCACTCCAAATATGCCTATTGGGACTTCACGTTCAGGGATCTTGGGGCACAGGAAATGAAGGGAAAGGCTTTCCCTGAGCCCCTCCATTGGCTGCCCGAAGCGGGAACCTCCAAAAGCAGCTTGGGGTTCATGAATGGTATCCCAGGATCTCATCCGTTAGGGAAGATTAAGGTCATTTCACAGAAGAGGAGACAGGAGGTTGACACCTGGGCCAGACTGACCCATTGTCACCTGTTTTTCTAAGGACCCATTTGACTTCCCAGAAATCATCTGCTCTCCCCCTGGGCTGCCCGCCCTACTCCTCCCTCGGCCCCCAATGAAGAGGGTGTCTAAGCTTCTGGCACTTAACTGTGTAGTGACATAGTTGCTTCTCTTGCATGTCCTACCTCTGCAGGTAAGAAGTCAATATAACTTTCCTCCTGCTAATCTGTCACTGTCAGTTTCCTTCACAGCCTTCATGACTGAACCTTTAGGAGATAGAGGAGAAAATTGCTTACACCCCTCCAGAGGAAACAACCAATCATCAAAAGGGAGGTTGTATTTTTTCTTCTTAATAATTGGTGTTATTTGCACTTCACAGACTTTCGAGGGCAACAACAACTATGACACACCTGAGCTACGGACCTTTCCACCTGTTTCCACACGATTCATCCGAATCTACCCTGAGCGAGCCACTCATGGCGGGCTGGGGCTACGAATGGAGCTGCTGGGCTGTGATGTGGAAGGTAACCACACTCTCCAGGGTCCCCCCTGTCTTATCTCCTTTTCTTTAGACATTTCTGCTGCAGATTGCTATCTGTCCTCTGGGGGCCCCTGTACCTCTGTACCTGCCAGTCATCAAGACTTGGGGTTCTAGCACATACTCCAAAAAAGCACCTTTAGGGTTCTGCCTTTGACTTAGTTGTTTGTATCATTCTTTTTAGATTCTATGGGATTGCTTCTCACTACTTTTTAAAACATAACTTTTGGAAGCAAAGTCACATAACACAAAATTCACCATTTTAAAGGGCACAGCTCAATGGCTTATAGTGCATTCTACTGGCAACTTACACAACTATTTCTCTTTCAATTTCCAAAACATTGCCCTGACTCCAGAGTAAAACCTCTTCCCCAGGTTGTCTGTTGTTTCCCTTCCCTAAGCCCTGGCAACCACCAATCCCTTTGACTTTTTAAATGTTGTTTAGAGCCCTGTGTCAGATCCAAGTTTCTGTCTTGGGAGCTGACTGCCACCACACACTAGCAGGAAGCTGCATTTGACACAGTAAGACATCAAGACGCATTTGGATGTATTTCTTAGGCTGTTGTAAAGAAGCAAAGCTTTTCATGGGACAATGTGTCTGAAAAAGCCTGGGGCGGTCTCTTTAATGGCGTTATTGCCTAGACTTAGATTATCAGATGAAGGTCATATCAAGGACACGCTTATGCATATGCTGACCTCACACCTGCACTCTCTTTTAACAGATAATGAATAAGATGAATGTTTTGAGTTGGTCATTTTACCATTTACTGCTTTTGTGCAGTAGAATTCCCATCTGCCTTAGATTTGGGCATAAATGAGTAACCTTACACCAGCTTTTGTACCCCATTGAGGTCTTTTTCCAGGTTAGCTTGCAGAATGGCTATTGTTGGTACGCAGATGTTAATCAGTCAAGCAGATGCTCACAGTTGTTTCAAAGAATGCTAAAAAGCATTTAAAAATATCACCTATTGGTTTCAAAACTACCTATGTTTTGAGCTGCCCAAATATAATTACATTTCTGAACATATTAAATATCATAGAACCTTTCAGATGCAGTACAGGATCGTAAGCTATCAATCACCATACTACTGAATAATTCATAGCTGCTTTTCTATGTGTTTATTTCAAGTCAAGCCATTATCTCCCATTCTTTACTGGGTGGCTCTTTCCATATCTGTAGTCATGTCCTAGACCTCTGAATCTAATTGCCAGCAACATAGACCAAGAGTGACCATGTGCCAGGGCTTTGGTAAAGATGCCAAAACAAAGAAGGGTTGGGCTCATTGAACCAGCTGCGGACACATTCTTTTCATTCAGGGTACTGAGAAATGTGGTCCGGGAGAGAGAGGCTGGTGTGTGAGGCGGGACTCCAGTCCCATTCTAGAAGGCAGCATTGATTTAGGAGGTGCAGTGAATGGATGGTTGAAAACACCGAGCCTTGTGGCAGTTTGCCAGTGTCAACTCTGGAGTGAGAGGAGGTGGAAACTGTGGCTGAAGGGATTTGCCTGCAGATGTTTGCAAGCGCTCACAAAAGTGAGGAAGTTGCCCCCCAGCTGTATGAAAAACCAACATCCGGGAAATTAATGGCAAAGCTTTTTAGTACAATTAGTGAAAAGGAATAATTTTCTTCTCCCTCAAACTGGTTAACAGGTCTTATTAAATATCCACCTCAGGCCTTGTCCTACCAGAGACATCTGAAGGACACAGAAGGAAGATGGGGTCCCAGCCAGTCTCCCATAAGAGTTTGTACTATTTTGAGCTAGCTCGTATATTTAAGAAACAGAGATGTGATAAGTATGTACCAAAATCCCATGATGAATGTCTTCATTATGTATCACAAACATATACTAATAAAAAAATTTAAAAGAAAACCTTAAAAACAAAACAGTCACAGACTATATATTTTCAATTAGGAAAAGTTGGAGCATAAAAATCCTTCATTCACTGACTTTTGCAATTAACTTTAATGTGGAACTTCTTTATGAACACCATTAGGAATGCAGAAAAATCAGCAAAATGAATAGAGAGATTAAAACAAGGACAGCTTAGGGAAGACACTGTGCAGATTTCCAGAGAGTTCTACTGACCCAAAGGTAGCAATAAATAGAGCCCAAAATATGTGTGTATGTTATGAATTCTAGATTACATGCCCTTACATTACGTATGTTGTCTGTCTATATGTGGTGATTCCTAGCTATTATTTATTAGCATATCTGTTCAGGTAGCTGAAGAAGTTGAAACCTAGCTACATTTCTACATTTTCATAACTTTGCTCAGTACTTAAGCACGATAGGGAACAGTGTCAAATTCTGACCAAGGACATTGCTACAGGCCAGACACTGTAAGAGGGTAACTCCCGCCCTGCTCCAGTTCTACGAATCTTGTATAGTTCTCAGACATCAAGGGAACTGTGCCTTATCTCAGCCTTGTAAAGTGAAGTGTAATGTGGAAAACTGTAAAATATTAAACAGATTGCAAAACTGAATAACAAACTGGAAAAAATAGACTGAACTAAACTTAAAAGACTTTGAACACAGTCTTTGATTAAAGTTGGCTACCTTTCAACTACAGACTCAAAGATATGGGGGTACCATTCATGGAATGCAGTCCTGTGGCCAGGAATAGGACCTTGGGATACAACAGCACTCACAGGAAGCCTCCCAGATCATGAAGCTACTTAGAAATGTAGTCTGTTTGTTTTGTTTTGTTTTTTAAATGAACAATATAGGTCTAAGTATGAATGTTGATGCTCCTTTTTGGGGAATAGAGGATATAAACTGATATCAAATGATATAAATAATGCTTCTTTTGGGAGGAATAAATAATATAAACTTAACAAACTCAGTCAACACTGAGAATAAAAAAGAATTCATGATGAGTGAATTCTCCAATGCTTTGAAAATAAAATGAAACACAGCGCAAGCAAAATCTGTATCATCAAAGTTCTCAACACCAGGGTCGTGAATAAACGGCCAGGGAGAATTCAAGAGCTTTCCAGTAAAAAAGGAGATTTATGCAGATAACAATGCATAAAATGCTAAGGCAACCAAATCTACTTGACAGATATGGATCAAATACCAAAGCACTGTAGTCTCTGATGTGTTCTACAAAATCTAAGTGTTTTCAGCCCCCTGAAATACAGGCAAAGCATACCCCTGGCCTTCTTCCCACAGCTTAGAGTTTTCTGCAAAAGTGCTAGCAGATTCGATAGACAAAACCTTGAGAACACATTTGAGAGGTGTGAGATAGTAACCCTTGGATCTCCTTTCAGCCCCCACAGCTGGACCGACGACTCCCAATGGGAACCCAGTGGATGAATGTGATGACGACCAGGCCAACTGCCACAGTGGAACAGGTGATGACTTCCAGCTCACAGGTGCAGAAGCCATCTCCATCCCATTGCTGTGCCATTTCAGTCCATGTCGTGGTTGAGCCCCACTAACGCAAGTGTGTGTACTCCTAGCTCCTTCTGACTGTCAGGGTGTTGGCAAAGCTGTCCTGGAATAGAGGCAGCCTTGCCACCACGCGGGCATTGTCATTTCCTCACGCCATCCACATGAGCAAACTGCTTTCCATAGCCACAGTCATTTGAGGCAACCGTTTGAGCCTCTTTCAGAGCCGAAGGCTGGGTCCTAGCTGAAGAATTCTCCAAGGCTGAATGTGCTAACCTGATTCTCTTCTCAGAACCCCGCTCACCCTAACTTGTGCACTGCACATTCATAACCACACACTTCATTTTCTTCCCCTAATGAGGATAAAATTTTCTGAGTGGAGCCTTCATCCAACTAATTGATTAAATTAAGCTTACATTTGAAATGCAGCTTTTAAGTTGGGATCTTATAAATCATTTTACATTAAAATTTACAAAGCAAGGCTTAGTTCACATCAGCACCAACTAGCCAATGCAGAGAGATGGTTTGGGCTACATGTCTCCTAATTAATCTGGTGTTATTCCAAAGCCTTCTAAAACCCTATAAGCCAAAAAGGGACCTTCTCCTCTACTTGGAATGAGAGGGGAAATATAGAGCAAGCAGGGAATTGCAATGGATTTGAACCACTGGAAATTGGCCAAGGCACCAGGATTTTCACCCTATTGTTGGAAAATGTATCCTGGGATGTTTAGTGCTACCTAGATCAAAATGAAATTTCATAAGCATCTGACTCTCATTTTAGAGTAAACCTTAGCCGTTGAATGCAGGTCTGTATTTTTACCCAGAAGGGACTCAGAGAGCACACATAATTAATTTCCATGGGCAAAACTGAAGGTGTTACCTTGTAACTTCATAACACAGCCATATTATTGGCTAAGGCATTTGTGCAAAATCTAAAAGGAAATGTCCCACAGTTCATGTCCAATTACTTCAAATATTCTCCTCCAAAGGAGGCAGAGAGCTTGGCATTCTGAGATAGAGTCAAGGGTAAAAAAAAAAAATCTAGCCCAGAAATTTCGTCCTATGAACTGGGTTTACACCAGAGCCCTACCTGCTGAAGCTAACTTCCTCCAAATTTCCAAGATAATCCCTTACATTCGCATAACCAATGAACATTACATCACTGTGTGCTTTGGAACGCAAATCTTGCATGTCAGTAGCCACAAGACACAAGAGTTGCTGTAATTAATGCAGAGCATTCTCTCTGTAAGATGTCAAGTCCAAGTTGAAAACCCTACAGCTGATGTAAAAAAAAAAACAGGTTGCCAATGCTCATACAGGTTGTCTAAAACCTTCTGGGGTTTGCCTGGAACACTCTACCACACACCTTAAGATTTTGTGGGCCTTGTCACAAATCCACAGTAAAATTCCCCATGAAAAAGTGAGCTTGCCAGAATTCAGGGGAACCTCTTTCCATTGCTCTCTACAGAGGGGTTCTTTCCTTTATAAACCCTAAAATGATCAGTTAATATTGATTGGAAACCGAGCATCAGATTTACTCCTCCACTCAGAGCAAACAACTTCTCATTGTTTGCATTAGTTCATGACTGAATCAGTTGAAATGGAAACCTTTTGAATGAAACAGGGAAAGTATGCCAGCCTGGAGCAGTTTTGTGTGGCTCAACTCAGAAATCTCAGAAAATGGGTCATTTACGGTGTGAACACTGGCATTCTTTTAAAAGTACAAGGTTTTTTTTCACCTACAGTATTTAAAACTATTTCTTGAGCAGAGAAAAAACTGCATCCTAATTTTTTCTGTGTATTATCATGGCTAAGAAAAAGACATTCAGGCTCGTGCATTTGGCTCAATGATGCTACAAATATGTGCATGTATTCAGAAGCTCAGAGGGTGCTGATAATGCCCACACCACACCACCATCAGGAGAGGTGATTTTAAAAGACATGCTCATGCTTCATATTCATTTATTAAGATCAATTTGTCCTTTTTTAAAAAAAATGTAGATGTTTTGTAAGGCTTTAGCCCTTTTCTTTTTTCTAGAAAAAGCTGTGCTCGTAGGGTTTACAAAGAGCAAAACCTACTTCACCTAAACCAAAAATAGTTTTATATTTAAAACACACGTGTCTTATGCTTATATGCTTCTTGGAGCCTTTTTTTTTTTTCACTAATTTGTGGGTTTTACCATCAGGACTGTAAACCTGAGATGTTCAGTGTAATAAAACCAAACCAGGAGCATCCTCTCTTGAGCCCTGATGGGAGGGAACTCGGAAATTCCCCGGGTTCTCTTTGTTGAGTTCCTTACCACCATGGCGGTCTATTAATTTCTTCTCTGGGGGTGACCTATTTGTAAACAGGGGAGGAGAAAAACTCTAACAAATGCTCATGACTTGTGAACACTGGATTCTGAGTAAGCTATACACAATACATGGAGATGCAGAGATTCCTTTCTCATGCTTGCTTGCTGAGCTGAAAATTCAACACTGAAGTTACTCATTTGCAAATGCCTTTGAAGTCATTAGATAATGCAATTGGCTTCAAAGGCCCCAAAAGGCCAAATTTCACATTGGAGCCATGTGTACCCAACAGTGGAATTTGGCTCCCAACCTATAACAAAACTGATAATGCATATCAGTTATAAAAACTAAATTTTCACCTTGAATCTTTCTCCTCTAAGACTACAGGGAACAGAATGCTAATGTATTCTGGCCGCCCTCCAACTCTGCCATTATAGATTCACCTTCTTAACCCATAATATATATAATTCTTTCTTCCTAATGCCTACCTTATTGAGGCCCTGCACACATGTGACCACTCACTAGCATATTTACCAGGAGGGCTCGGGCAGCAAGACTTGGTGCTGCAGCTGGTTAGCTCAGAAATCCTAAGACCATCCTGAGAGCTCTCTGACTCATGATAGAGACATATAACTGGTTTCTGATCTGTAGGAGCTGTGGGATAGGCCTTGCTTGAATAAAGAGCATCATAAATCTTTATGGAATGGTGCTAGTGGAAGGTTCATGGTTGCCCACCTCACGTCTTCTCTTGACTTGGCCCATGACCTTATCTCTCAAGAGAAAGGAAGATAGCCCACAACCATAATCTGCATGGCATGCGCAGTGAAGAATAAGTGTCTTTCTTAAACCAAATTATAAATAGCAAACCATTGCTCCTCAAATTCGCTGGACTATAAGACTCATTTCAGAAGCTTCAAAAAAATATAGATTCCAAGAGCCTTCTGATCTCCAGTTAGGACTGAGAAGGGCAGGTGAAGAGGAAACTGCAGTTTCAACTTGCAATCAAGGTGATTTGGGGCAGGTTAAACACTACCACTTTCAAACCAAAGCCTGAAGGGAGTCACTGAGAAACGGAAAAGGGGGGTCAGATATGATCAGAGCACACTACATACCTGGATGGAAATGTCACAATGAAACCTATGATTTCGTACAATTAATATGCACTGATAATTATAATTAAAAAGTATAATGACAATAAGTCAAAATGGAAGAATTAAGATATGAGAAAGAGAAGATAAAGTAAGTCTTAGTAGGATGACATCCTGGCCCCTGATCAGAAATTCCAAAAAAATCTCAAATTGAAAGCTCACGCTGCTGAGGGTATTATTTGTTCAGTCTTCCCACTCTTTGGGATTGAGAAGAAACATTTAGCCCTTGCTTCTTACACTGCCTCCACTTCTCCAAACCACATGTTGGGTGGAATATTTGTCCCTGGGAAAAATAAACAGCTATAAGCAGAGGGAAAGGGAAAAAAAAGTGGGGTGGGAACCACTACCATCCACTTTAAGCCTTTAGTTTTAAAATAGATTATGAGGACTAACTTTGCACCTCCCCTGAAGGCTTACATCTGAAACCGTGGAAACTATCTGAAGCTTCAGGCTCGAGGTCAAGTGTAATCCCCAAGTCACTGAGGAAATACAGGGGTCCTTGCCTTCCGCTGCTGGTGTTGTGTGCCATGCTTAGTTTGGGGATCAGTAGTGCTGCTGGAATCAAGTCTCAAATGTGGTGCCTTCCAGATGTTTTATAGAGAAACGCATTCAGATTTATTGCATACTTCAGAAATGCTAAGAGAGTAGATTTTATGTGTTCTCACCACAAAAAATTGCTAAGTATGTGAGGTAATGCTTATGTTAATTAGCCCGATTTAATCACTCTACAATGTGTGTATATATTATATGCAGTTATATTATTGTACATCCTATAGAAAGATAATGTCTATTTCTTGATTTTTAATTTTTTTGGAAAAGACAAATACATTACATAAAAAGTTATGTTATTTGAATTTGAAGTAACATTATGTGATTTATGATGGGCAAAATTTCAGTAAAGCAAATATTAGAACTGGAATTAACGGAAGGTTTTTTGATGGGAAATGTTTGGCTCTAATGAAAGCAATAGACATGTAATAAATATACATACATGTGCTATAGATGTATGTGAGCATGTGTGGAAAATAACCAATATAGCATACAACAGCACAGCATACTATAAAATCTGTCTTCCGGTTTCTTATTTTTCTGCTTTTGTTTTGCAGGTGGTACCACCGTGCTGACTACAGAAAAGCCAACAGTAATAGACAGCACAATACAATCAGGTATCAATTAAAATATAAAATGTAGTAGATATCATATGCCATTCGTACCACCTCACCCTCTGAAAATAGTATGTGTCTGTGTTTGGGGATTTCATTCCCCAAAAGTCCTAGAAGGAGAGAACAGCAGCATCTGGTTGCCAAGCATGAGCCATAAATATACCTTCCTGTTGTCCACATGTATATGCAGCAGGCGGGGAGAGCTCTTTCCCTATCAGTAATTGCCAAATGGTGACAATTCCGGCTCGCCACCAAAGGAACTGAGTAACATACTTTGTTTAAACGCAGCACATCTAGGACATGGACTGTGTTTGCAAACTTATAGGGGAAGGAAATCTCACAAGCAGCAGCCTGACTATTTATTTTCATCACAATTCTGCAAAACCGAGACACGCAAAGTTTGTCAGTTCTGCCTGCCACAGAATTGGCAGTTTTACAACAGCGTCTGCTGTGGGCGTGCCACGAAATGGGGTTCAAGAAATCAGGGTTTATGACTGGGGAGAATAGCACCCTTGAGAACAGTCCCTACATCCTTTTATTAATAGAGAAGCATGAGGACTTTGAAAGGCCGCCCGGTGCTGCTTATCAGAGGCCAGCCTGGCCCGTCAGAGCCTTCCTTGCCATCTCCTTTGTTTTTTGTTAGTATTCTGTGACATTCTTCCCCACAGGCACACATGAAGGGAAACAGCCAGCGTAAGCAATCAGAGCTTTTAGAGACTTTAAAGTTAGTCATTAGAGTAAGGTGAACAGGTCAGGGTTCCAGCTTCTTCTGCTTCCTTTATTGAGGCTCACTCAGCCTTGGTCTCCTCAGTTATTTATTAATGGGGTATGTGGTGTGGATCAGCATTTCCTCAGTGGTATGACACCACAGGGCTGGGTACAAAGTAGAAAAGGTTCCTCTAATTAGTATGCTTCCTTCGAGGACACCCTCACTGCTGGCCTGCTTCAACTGCAAAGAAAACTTCTCTTTCCGTTGGACTTAACCCCATGTTTCCCTGAGGGTGACAAAATTCCCTCTGCCACGCATCCTAGACACATCTAGACATCAGAGAGTGAATCAGAATAATAATCACCTAAATCCCCAACACTGTGATCCCGCACAGTTCCATTCAGGTTCTAAAATGTGCCTTTGGGAATAGCGCAGCCACCATGGGTGTCACCTGCCCACTACCTCTCCTGGGGCACCTCCGGCCTCCAGTTGAGTTTCTGTAGAGAAAAGCTGGCAGCTGCCAGCTGACTGTAACCTTGTAGGTCAGGAAGACAGGTCATGTGAACAACTGAAGCTCTACAATGCCCTGCATGTTTTGACTGTTATTTTAGTTTCTTCTCTTGCCAGAGGGGTAATGACAGTCACCACGAAGTTGCCAGCTCATGTGTTTCATCTCCTCTTTCATCTCCTTGTTCATTAAAAAGAGCTAGGGATTGTTTAAAATAAGCAAAAGTGCGGGGAGAACAGAGCTCTCCATCCAATTCCTAAACTAGAAATCATCCCTGGATGTCTAAGGTCTGAGAGCAAAAGCAGCTTTCCTCCTACTGCACTCAGTTGGGGCACAGGCACCACGTCATCCTTATGATGACATCATGGAGGAGCCCCGCGCCAGCCTGTCCTCTCCAGGGTCTGCTCTGATCAGAGGCCAAGCATCAAAAGCAAAGCAGGAACCTGTTAGAGCTATTACTACCACATCCTGAGCACAATCGGGTCAGATCCAACAACTGACAGACAGGTGCTCTGGTCCAGTTTGAATTTGGGGGCAGCCTATGCCCGTCTGTGAATGAACTTGGATTCTTGTCTTTCCCTTGCCTGAATTCTACTCTGGTTTCCCTGGTCTCCATTGGTAGTCAATGGACTGTGTGGCCTTCTCTGGAGGACTTCTGCTCATCACCTTTTGGTCAAGCCAAAAGGTGCAAGGACCCAAGGTTGCTTTGAGTCAGGGGCCACCTTTTGCTATCTAAGTCTGGGAGGTCTCCCTGTGGTCAAGTTCACCTAACTGATACTTCGATCCACACTGGTCCAGCAGTATCTCTGAGCATCTTCACATGCAGCAGCAAATCAGATCCCTGAATGCAATCCCCTCAACGCAATTCAGTCTTTCAGAAGCCTAATGGATAGTCTTAAGATTTCATTCTGAGAATTTTTACCAGTATAATAAACTCATTGGGTATATAGTACTCCTAGATTGTAATAAGATGCATGAAAGCCAGAAGTTGAGAGGAACCCTAGATTCCTAGTCCAGATCTCTTTCCGTCTCCGGCTCTTCAGACATCACTGTAACTGCTCCTGGTGTGTTTGTAACCCATGATCGTGTGAGCCTCAGCTTTCCCACATGTTTGAATGGAAACACCAGTCTGTGCATCAGCAGTGAATATATACAATAGAACTCTGAATACCAGATTTAAAATTCAGTCCTTGCACATTTCTGGCACTAATGATTCAACTGTGGGCAAGATGGCGTCAACAAGTACAGCTGGTGCTTGGTCACAGGGGCTATAAAATTGTTTAAAGTTCAAAATATTGTTTCCTGCTATTTTTAAGAGTCAAGAAGGGATTTATCCAGATTATTCACTTTGAATTTAATGAGAATTGTGTATAGCCATAGGGCCCAAGGAAGGTTTTTGAACTTAAAGTTGCGTCATCATTTACGTTTACTTCTTTTGTTTATTTTTCTTTCTTTTTCTCCCCTTTCCTCTTCCCCTTTTCCTCTTCTCACCTCCTCCTTTTCTAGTCTTCTTTTCTCCTTCTTATAATGTTTATGGGAAGTTTGTGTTTAGTTGCTTTTCTAACAAGGTTTGAATTATCCGCACTAGGCTCATCCCACAAAATGCATTGACTTAATAACATTTAATAAACATTATGGCTGTAAGTTACATGAATGAAACATGAAGGTGAAAGAGGACTAAAATACAAAAAGTTAGAGCAGTTGCCCTGTTAAATCCTTAGGATTGGAAAGGGCACTGGAAGATATAGACAGACTGCCCTTCCTCCAGTAAGGAGAAATGTCAGAAATACCTTTCTAGGCAAAGCCATTCCATTTCTTATTACAAAAATATCGAAGAAGATACACTTTCTGCTATCATCAGGTTATAATAGGTGACAATAATGGATGGTGTGATTTTCTATATCTGCAGAGTAAATTTAACGTAGTAATGAAGCAGACCGATCCAGAAATGTGTGTGCTGCAATGGCTTCCTGCCCTCCTGTGTGTATGTCTTGTAAAGCACATTTCAGGAGAAAAAAATCAAAACAGTGCACACATTAACATTTTCCAATATTAACATTTTCTAACATAAGGTTATGCAACAGGACATTCCAGGACTGAGTACACTGATGTCCAAGATTGCTCAACCATTCAGTCCCTGTTCACTTGACCCTGAACAGCGTTCTCCAAATGCGGTGGATTCTGGAGAGTTTCTCAGGCCTTCCAGAGACCACTTTCATGTTTGTGACAGACTAAACATGAACTGTGCCACCTCGGTGACACGCTGTCTGTGAAGTACAGCTTCTTTTTTGCACTAATTGAATCTGTGTACATTAAAAATAGCTTGTAGCCTGCTTCGCTATCCCATCTTGGCTCTGTTCCTTCTCTGGGAGATCACTTTATTATGGGGAGAATCCATTCAGCTTAGGCAGGTTCTTTCCAAACTTCCACTAGGGCTTGTGCTTGAAATTGGAGGTAAATCCTCCTTACCTATGCAATAAATGTGGGAAGGTGGCCAAGACCAGGCAGAGGAAAAAACAAGATGTTTTAATGTTAAACACTTGGGCAAGTGAATGGAAAGCTGAAAACGAGATCTGGTCTCAATCTGACTTTAAAGCAGCAAGGACACCAGACTTTCCCGTATTGTCCACAGCAGTTGTTCCAGAGCAAGCAGCTCAGTTGGCCGGCTCCCTCCTGGGTTCTGTCTGCTTCAATGCCGCCACCTTGTGGATGGTGGACGCAGAGTGGACCTGAAGGCCTCCATCAGAGCAAACCACTGTTGTGGGCTTCTCATTTGAGGGGAGGAGTGGGTGATGCAGAAGCACAAGAATTTTACCTTTAGAATTATCTTTACTATTCGATTGCTTTTACCCAACACGTTTTCGAATATCAAGGATTTCAGTTTTTCCTTACTTAAGGAGTCAAGCTTCTTTGGAAAATGAGGTTAAATGTTTTTTTAAAAATAAGGCTCTGATGAGGTTGAACACAGCCAGATAGCACCACACAGGTTAAATCATCCCTGAGCGTCCATTCATGCCTTCTTTCCAGCTTCCAATGGAAGCATTTTGAAGATTAAAAAAATGTAAATGGGTTGCTATTTAAATGCACTTTGGCTTTGTAGGACCTTGCATTGAGGTTTTAAGTGGAAAAAATAATTTATATGCAAATTTAGAAATTCGATTAAGAAGCAGAAATGTATTCATCAATTAATTGACCTGATGGAAAATCTCAGAAGGAAAAAAAAAAGTATATAATCTTAAGAAAATGCTTCTGAGACTTTTGACACCGAGGACCCAAGACATCAGCTGCTCTAGCAGAATGGAGAGAGAGCCTGCTGGGGAAGGCATTCTGCCAAGTCACAGCTCCAAACTTTTGAGGGCCACGGGTCAATCTCTAATAAGATTCTTTTCATTGATGGATATCAGTTTCTATGATTCATCCTTGAGAACAGAGTATTTTTCATGTTAAATAGAGTGGAAGTAAGGAAAATGCTGCAGATGCAATATACGTGCCTTGGAAAGTAGCCTCCCTAGAAATTTTATGTAAACCCAACTTGACAGGCAGTCCATAATCTTTTTAAAGCTGGATAAAATAAAACATAATAATACTAAATGTGATTTCTGCAAATATTTTGACATCTCTATACATCAGTTGGCTTGTTGGTAATCCTGAATTTTGTGGCTTTCCCAGAATTTTTGAAACAGACATGAAGTTATAAAAATCGTGCTGTCCATGACTGTATTAAAGGCCTCTTTGACCCTGGGTGATTAAATTTGTATTTCTCTGCTTGTCTCTGTTTTCCCTTCCCACTCGCTGAAGAGTTTCCAACATATGGTTTTAACTGTGAGTTTGGCTGGGGCTCTCACAAGACATTCTGTCACTGGGAACACGACAGCCAAGTGCAACTCAAGTGGAGCGTGCTTACCAGCAAGACAGGACCCATCCAGGACCACACAGGTACGGGGAGGGCACTGGGATCCCGGGACTGACAAACTCTCTTTGCACCGGGGACAGTATCACTGGGGAAGGTTTCTGGTGCCTGTGAATCTTAGGGGCACAAGAAGTGTTTGCTCACGCTTGCAATTTGGAGTGAACAAGGTGTCTTTACCTAGTGGGGTCAGCTTAGAGCAAATGCTAAAGAATGCTCACTAAACAACAGTAACCTGAGCAAGGATGGGTGAATTCATGCTTGTTTAGCACTTTCTCTGGACCTCTAATTAAAGAGTATTTTAAATATATTCAATAGTATAAAAAAGATAATGAACATTGTATGTACATAACTTGGCTTCAATAATGATTAAATCGTAGGAATCAGTTTATCATTGCCAACTCTGGAGTCATTATTTCTGTCATCCCTGATTCTGGATTAATGTATATCCAGGTGCATATTACATCATGTCATTTATTTTACCACTAAAGAAACAAGTGGCCCTAATGCTTCCTCTCTTCACCCCTGAGGTAGATGTGAAACAAAGTAGGGTGACATTCTTATTCCTTTGAGGAAAGGTTTTTTAATCTAGCCCATTTCCTCTTAACAGGCAAAAACCTCACCATACCCCAGCTCACATCCCATCCCTGCTCCTGCTTTGTTTTCCTCCTGAGATGAATGGGTGTAGTGACAAGGAGTTGGGGGACAAAGGGACCTGGCAGATGCACTTTATTCCACTTACATCCTGTTTTCCACCTAGAAACTGCATCACCCAAACTTGATGTAATATATAAAAAGTCAGCAGTGTCCTGCCAAAAATCGCACACATACACACTTAATACAAACACTCACAACACTTGACCTGCACATTCCTACCCTCCTCAGTGACACAGTGGACTGCTTACTCTGATTCCTAGAGGATCCCCAGAGGGCCATATGTGAACACTGAGAAATCACATTCTGTTCTCCCCACGTGGATGCGTGGGAGGGCTGGATCTTGGACTAATGGCCGGGCAAAGTGTACTTCATGCCTTTCCCACTCTGTCGTTCCCTTTTTCTCAGTGAACAGAACCATTAAATAGGTTGAATAGGCCTCCTTCCACTACGGCTACCTCCCTGCCTAATGAGAATGACAAGGAAATTGGATAAAATTGGACTCCTTCAATTCTGAGACACTTTCCATTGAATCTTAAGACAAGCAGTTTTAGAAAACTTAAAATACTTTGACTGTAAATGGCACTGTACATATAAATGGCATCAAATTAACTAAATGCAATTAGCTGAAATGAAGGCAGTAATGGTGGAAAAATTGATGCAAAGTGAAGGAAAATGGCTCAGTAGGATCTGACATTCAAAGGAGGTTAAAAGCTATGTTAGCCAGAGACAAAAGCTAAAAGGCTTGCAGAAGTAAAGTGCTAATTGAGAAAATGAAGACAGAGTTCTTGACCCAGAGCTGTGATAAAACCCCTGAAAGGGAGACTATCAGCACTTTGCGTGTTGGGGTATCCGAAAAGGAGGGCTTGTCTTAGAGGAGCAGCTGAGAAGTGTGATTCATTCAGGAGGATTGGGCTCCTTTGTTCTCCAGCCACCCAGATTTACTTGGCTGCCATGCCAGGTCTGCCCGGACTGGAAAGTGCCTCTGCAGCACAAGGCAGGCAGTCACTGAGAGGGACGGGCAGCCAGGCATCTGCAGGGCAGGGGCTTATGGAGGGCAGGAGTATAGCTGAAAGGAGCCTGTTGCACGGCTCACATGCACAAGTCAGGGCAGAGGTGGCACTTTTTGATAATATTGTTGGAGCTGCAAATCAGACACTGAGGCTTTTCAATTACTGCTCTTTAGATTAAATACTCCATTCTGAATTTAAAGAAAGCCCACTTATTTTTTTTTTCTTTTTGTATTTGGCCTCTAAGAATTCAACTATGTCCCTCCTTCTAGAAGACTCCTCAAACTAAGCCTCTTTCCGTCACTCACTGAAACTTTAAGTAGCTCTTTGATGTGGCCAATGCTATGCTGAGCACTGGAAATTCAGGTGCAGTCAGTGTCTGTGCCCATGAGTACATAGATTTAACTAACTTCAGGTCAAAAATAGCCCAAAAAAAAAAAAAAAAAAACCCACCACATCTCCACTGAACATGTAGATTTTTCTTGTCATTATCCCCCAAACAGTATAGGACAACTGTTCACATGGTACATACATTGTACTAGATATTACAAGTAATCTAGAGGTAATTTAAAGTATGGGAAGGAAATGTATAGATTATATGTAAATTCAGTAATGAGCCCCTCTGTATTTATAGGAATTTGACTCCAGGATCCCAGATGTCAGAGTCCCTTATATAAAATGGCATAATATTTGCAACAAATCTACACATAATACATTATAAACACCACGTGAATAGTTTGTATGTTGCATTATTTATGAAACAATGGCACTTGTCCAGTAAAGATCAGATAGATAGACAGACAGATAGATAGATGGATTCATATAGATATGGACATGTATTTGGTCTGAGTTTAGCTGAATCCATGGATTTGGCCCTCATAGATTTGAGGGGCCAATTGTATTATACCATTGTTTGTAAGAGGATTGAGCTGGATTTTGTATCCCTGTGGTCCCACGACCAATTCCCTGCAGAGCCCCAGGGGTGACTAAATAAAGCAGGGTGTCTCTAGCCCTGAGGACTTCACAGGCCGGTTGTGGATGGGAAGCTCTTACATGCAGCTGGGCAGGGCATCCAGTGAGAAGTAAGCAGCAATGGTAAAAGGTAACAAAGGAGGAGTCCAAGAAAGAGGTCCCGTCCCAGGAGCCAGCCAAGCTAGCCTTGTTTTAATGGCTTACCAATGGAGAGGTTTGAAAATGTGTTTTATGTGTAGCATTTAGATTTGTGCTGGGAAAAAGTATGAGTGAGCTGGAGGCAGTGGAGACTCACCAAGGAATTTTAAGCAGAGAAATGACAGGGGCAGATTGTTAGAAGCCCACAGTGGCATCAGGACAGAGCTGTGACACACTTCTCTCTCCCATGTCCATTGTCTCCTCTTGACTGCCTGTTCTCCGGCCAGGCTAAAGGAACTTCAGTAAATGGGCTCAGTAAACAAAAGCCAACTTAAGCCTTTTCCCACGAGATTCAGGGAACAGGGGTGTCAGGAGTGTATTCTTCAGTGGTTGTATTATGCAAGCAGCTGACTGAGCTTGGTAAATTAGAGGGCAGAAGAAATCTTAGGAGTGACAGAGTCATCTGGGACAAAGGACACATCACAAGGGGAGAGACAGAAATCTTGTGTAGTTTTCATGCTGCAGGAGCTGTGATGTGTTTGCACCCCTTCTTTAGTGACTCTAGGGAAGCTGGTGGGCAACCAGGTAAGGGAGAGGAAGCCCACCCATTGCCATATGGAAACTGGTGTCACAGTAAGATGGGAGGATGAGTTCCACATACACGCAGTGAGGAAGTACCTCGTGGGTACACCAGCCTCAAAGACAGCAAGCAAATATCCCGCTGCCCGCTGAGGCCTGGTATCACCCTCACAGTTACATCAGGTGAGGCATCAGAGCTGGTGATTTCTATTTGCAGAACAAACAGTGAAACACCAGTCATGTTTGGACTGGGTAGAGGCAAGAGGAAATGTTCCCAGCGGGGGTAATTAAAAGTGAAGCCAAGAGTCAGCCCTTGTTGCTCAGCAAGTGTAGACATGGCCCAAATGGCACATGCTAATGAGTCCCAGAAATGCAAGCTTGCTTTCCTTCCTCAAAGAAGGACTTTGAAGAGAAGCAGTTGAAAATCAAGCTCTTGGGTGCATTTGAGGAATTCATAGACCATTAACATACACTAAACGAATAATAGGGGTAATTTAAAAAAACTTGATAGACTACTTGGAGAAAATATGAAGTATGGAATTAGCAAGCATCCTGGGGACCAAAGCACTGTCAGCCATCCGGTGTCCAGTTATTCAGAAGATGGATTAAAAAACATCTGAATTAGTCCATCTAACTCCATGTTCATGTGGGTGCTCCTGAGACCGTCTTAAACTTGCATCAGAAGAGCTTTTCCAAATAGTCAAACACTCTCTCCTCAGCTAGGCATAGGCTGGGCCTCTGCTCTGCCTTTGGTGGTGGTCAGGCTAACAGGGTGCTCTGCATAGGATTTTCCAGGCTGGGCCTGCCCCACAGCCTTCCCTCAATCAAAGTCCACTTCCAGAAGCGTGGAGTAGGGCTGTAGGTACCCACAATGTACCCTTGCAAACTGTTTCCAAAACCTCTTTCAGTGCTTGGTTCTCAGCTCAAGGGAGGCATTTTGATTGGTGGAACTTGAAAGAGAAAAGGGGGTCATCCTGGGCTTGGCCACTCTCCCTAATGCAGTTTTTTGCCACAGCAGGAGATGGCAACTTCATCTATTCCCAAGCTGACGAAAATCAGAAGGGTAAAGTGGCTCGCCTGGTGAGCCCTGTGGTTTATTCCCAGAACTCTGCCCACTGCATGACCTTCTGGTACCACATGTCTGGCTCACACGTCGGCACACTAAGGGTCAAACTGCGCTACCAGAAGCCAGAAGAGTATGACCAGCTGGTCTGGATGGCCATTGGACACCAAGGCGATCACTGGAAGGAAGGACGTGTCTTGCTTCACAAATCTCTGAAGCTCTACCAGGTATGACCCTTGTCCCTAGGCTGGGGATAGCCATGCCTTTGGGAACACTGGCATCAGATGTTGGAGGCCATCCAAATGAGATGCAGAAAGTCTTCCAACAATTGCTTCATGCATTTTCCAAACCTGAGCTGTTAGCTGCAGCCATGGTCATCTCCATGGTGTATTTCCCAATTTCCTAGATTACAGTATCAACTAATTTGCTGAGAAAGAAAGGGAAATGCTTTTTTGTAATCTATTTCTGTGCTGTTATGAGGTATCACTATTTTTATTTACTGCATTTTGCCTGTTTCAATGTCTGTATTATAAAAAGGGAATGTGAGAAGTTTTGTGCACCACCAGGCAGCTTGACGAGCTAAATGTTTGCTTATGCACAATCTCAGAAGCTTGATGTAGGTGTCATGGCTTCAGCTGAACAAGCATTTGTAAACAGTACTCTTGGGGACAAGCATTTAAATGCTGTCAAATGCTTTCATTTTATTAGGTGATTTTTGAGGGTGAAATCGGAAAAGGAAACCTTGGTGGGATTGCAGTGGATGACATTAGTATTAACAACCACATTTCCCAAGAAGACTGTGCAAGTGAGTATACGTTTGATGTAAAAGCCAGTGGAATGCATGCCCAAGGCAAGGTTCTTCATCTTGTTCGTGTAAGACTTAAAATTTCAGTGTGGGCTTCAATATGTGAAATGCACATTCTAGTGTAACAGGGCATAAAAATCAATTCTGTTGACCTTAAACTACTGTATCACCTCATCTCCTCCATGTAGAATGGCTGATTGATACCTACAAACTTTATAAACGGTGAACCCAAAGATCGTAGCAAAGCAGAAAGATTCAGTTTACAAGCTCTGTCTGGCACACCAAAATATTTTGATGAGAAGAGGAAAGCTCAGACATCTGGATAATTCCACATATCTGAGTGTATAAACAGAACAGCAGGCCTTTGAAAATTTTGATCACAGTGAATTTAATTAAGATTACATTGTTAATGAATCAGAGAAAACAACATTCTTTGCTTTATTGCAAATAAATGGATGTTTCTCACTCTAAAGATAGCTGAAATGACTTAAGAGGATAAATGCAGAGACTTTAGTAATTACAGGGTTGGTCTTTACAGGTCTGGTACTATATGGATAAAAATCTCACGTGAAAAACCAATTCATATTCCCTAGTTCTTGATATATAATTACAAATAGCACCACTAATGGCAATGTAATAGCACAGTAATTAGACTTAAGCTCCATTTGCTACACTTAAACTTTTGCTATATATCATTACATAATAGGCTGTTAATTATAACAAGATAGAATAAGCCTATTGGGCAAATTTAGGATAAAGGAAGCCTGTTGGCTGTAATAGGTGCTTGGTCTTTCCATCAATTTAAAGAGCTTTTATTATACAATATATTGAATAATATGTAATACCTAAAATGGCAATAATTTGATAGGGTCAATTAGAGAAATCTGAAAAAGAAACAGTTGAATAAAGACCTGCTTTGCATTCTATGTAAAGAAATCTCTTAATTCCATGCTGCTTAGCAAATCTTCCCAAAAAATGATACAGCTTAATATTTCAATTGCAACTACTTTACAAATTGCCCCCACCCAAGTCTGTACTGCTGTTGAAATGCACATTTCAGGTGGTCACACCGGGTGTGGAGTATCATTATTGCTTTCCTACTCCAAGAGGAGAGTGGTGTTCGTGATATTTGGGTGTGAGAGGAAACTACACCAACTAAAACAAAGAAAGTTCCGTTCAATTCAACAGACATTAAATGTGTGCAGGGCAGCAGACCTAGGGAATACAGATGAAGAGAACGTCATAGCCCTTCCCTTCCATGCCATCCACCTGCCTGGCTACAGGCTTTGTAGCCAGAAAGTGACCAGTGGAGCACCACTGAACCCTACACATACATGGCTGCACCCATAAAAAGGTGTTAGAGATAATGAATTATTTATCAAATACATTTTCTTGAGCATCTAGCCTTGGATGGACTGAGTCTCCACTATTATTCATTCATTTACAAGAGAATTTTTTATTAAGCAATCACTATGTGTTTCATACTATTCTAGATGCTGCAGGAACAAAGTGCTCAAAACTCTCTTTGCCTTGAACTCGGTCTTGTAGAGGCAGGCCACTGGAATTCACTTGTTCCATAGTATTATATTTTATTAATTTATTACCATTCGGTAATACACAGGATTCCATCTCTAGTGGCAAAAGAATTGTGCTATTTGGGAAGCCAAATTAACACCCTCATACAGAGGAAGTAGTCTTTGCACACTGCAGCCTGGTAGCCATGGGTCCAGTCCCACTTCTGTCCCCACCCCTCCTTTTTTTTTTTTTTTTTTTTTTTTTTTGAGACAGGCTTTCACTATGAAGTTCAGGCTGGCCTTGAACTCACTAAGTAGCCAGGCTGCCCTCAAACTCACACCTATCCTCCTGCCTCAGCCTCCCAAGTGCTGGTGTCATAGTCATGCACCACTAACCATGGCACTCTGTCCCCTATTTTCATCAGATTATTCCCACATTCCACCATGCTATCTTCTGAAACAACACACTGCACTAACAGCCAGGCTACCTGTGTTTCCATGCGATGCCCATAAGGAAGTGCCCTGCTCGCTCTTCAGCTTCATAATCATTGCACATGGACTCTGTCACTCAAAAGAGTTGTTCCCTGGGTTCAGAGAGCACTAAAAACTGCAAAGGAACCCCCCAGAGGCGTGTCTGTGCACACTTGTGAGGGTGTGCAAGGGTCTGTGTAGTTTGTCTGCAGTGTGTTTTGTTGACCATTCAAATATCTCTTTCAATTTTGTTTGACTTGTCAGAACCGGATGACCTGGATAAAAAGAACACAGAAATTAAAATTGATGAAACAGGTAAAACTGCTGACCAATTTTAATATTTTCTGTGGCTTTCATTATGTTTGTGAAGAAATTCGCATACCATGACATATCAAAGCGGTTCAATAAAATAAGCCTGAGTGCCTGAGGCCTGGGGCGGGAAGCTGCTGAAGACTGGATTTGTCCCCTAGCATCTTTCCCAGAGCTGCCGTCTAATGTGGGAGACTGGCAGATGATGAGGATGAGCGGCTGGGTCTCTCCCTGCCTGAGCTTTAGTACTGAAATCAAGCAAAACACTCTTAGTTGATAATTATGCAAACTAGTGAGGATTCTTTTCATACAAAAATTTGAAACCAACTCAGTTTTTTGTGTCTGGTTAATACCCATGTGAGACCTTTGAGAGACGAGAGTCCAGTTTTTTCTCATCATCCATTGTGTTTAATCCCTCTTTCCCACTTTTCTCTATTGGAACCCTGATTTGCTGATGATGGTGACAACAATGTTGACAAGAATTTATTGGGGAACTACTTTGTTCTCCGTACTTTCCATATGTTATCTCACTTAAATTTCACACAGTTCTGTGTACCCCCATTTTACAGATAATGAGGCTGCAGTTTAAGGAATGCAGTTTTGCATCTCATTAACTCTTAACTGTGTTTTATTTGACCCTGCTTTGTGATCAGATGTAAGACATTTAGTTGGTCTTAGCTCAGCCTGGTGTTATTTATTACCATGAGCCTCTGCACCTTGTGGCCAGCACTGTTGGTTTTTGGACACCTGCCCCAAATCACCACCGTGCATCACCACACCCTTCACCCCTGTTGGCAGAGAACATAGCCTCACTCTCTTCATGGGGGAAACAGCAGTAAGCCTGGAGAAAGCTTTGAGAGGTCATAGCTTTGCATAAGGGGGGGCAATCTTTTGTGTGGGTTCTCCACATAGGACAGTGAGCACGTGTATGCGCAGAACAGAAGTTTCCCTCAGGCTGGTTTGGGGGTCAGACATTGCCCAGGGAATGTTAACCCTTCTCCCCACAAAACAAAAGTACAGTAAAGCATTTTGCAAAGCTCAATGGCTGCGTGTCCCACCAAGGACCACAAACACAGATTACAGCCTAGCACAAAGTTGATTTCATGGAGTCTGAATTCAATCAGAACAGGACCCTCGTCCCCACGTATTGAGCTCTGGGTCCTGATCCCAGCTACCTCACTCCCGCACCTCCACTTCCAACCGTTACCCCAACTTGACGGGTGGGAGCCCGTGACTGGCTCGGGTTTGTCTTTTCCTCTGTCTCTGTCTGCTCTCTGATGTAGCCACCCGCAGTGTTCATGGTTCCACTTTTCTTTCTGCAGGGAGCACCCCAGGATATGAGAGTGAGGGGGATGCCGACAAGAACATTTCTCGGAAGCCGGGCAATGTGCTGAAGACCTTAGATCCCATCCTCATCACCATCATAGCCATGAGCGCCCTGGGCGTCCTCCTGGGCGCCGTGTGCGGGGTCGTGCTCTACTGTGCCTGCTGGCACAACGGGATGTCAGATAGAAACTTGTCTGCCCTGGAGAACTACAACTTTGAACTCGTAGATGGAGTGAAGTTGAAAAAGGACAAACTGAATACACAGAGTTCCTATTCGGAAGCATGAAGTTGGGCAGAGGGTAGAAGTGGAGGACATGACTTGAGCGTGCTGGGGACTGTCATCTGCTTTCATGGACAGGCTGGAAAGTGCATCGATGACACTGAGCCAGGCTTTTCTCAGGAGCTTTGATGAGTGTGGCCGACAGACAGGGACAGTGAGCTGTGTTCACAATCGCAATCATGTACAGTCAGTTTCTTCTGTTGGTTTCCTTTGAGTAATCAGATGCTGGTGTTGAGACCAAGTATGATGGACTTCACGATTCATTTCGACTCTCCCCGCCTCTTCCCCCCTCTCTCTCTCTCCTCTTCCTCTGATGGCTTCTTTATGGAAACTGCAGAATCCAAGATGCTGGCACCAAGTGTATTGCGTGGGGCCCTTCCGATGGACATATGATCAGTAGCCCAGTGGCCAGAATATACTAGCCTAACCGCACTTCAGTGGACTCCCCAGTCAGTCCCGTGTGTATCTGACCATGTGTGCAGAAGCAAAGGATTAGGATGTTTTATTTTCAAAGCACTGTAGCCTCCATACTGATATAGCGTGTCAGCTCTGTTTATGAAGCAATACCGTCACATTTTCTTGATGTTTCCAGTGTTGTACTAAATCTCGTGCTTGTGAACTCCGGACAGAAAATCGTGCCGTCACCAAACTGTGCTGGCAAGCAACTGGGTGTACTGCTGACAACCACCACGAAGTCCTTGGCACTGGCTAGTCTATGTCCTCTCAAGTGCCTTTTTGTTTGTACTGGTTCATTGTGTTACATTAGCAACCCACTCTGTTTCCCGCTGGTGAAAGCCCTCCTCTTTCATCAAACCCTGGTGGCCCACTAAGAAAGTATATTTTAGCGTGAGGCGTCAGCCCCCGGGCAGGCAAGGGCTCTGAAGACTTGGCACCGTGGCTTAATCGTTCTGCTTTTTCTGTGGTTCAATTTCATGTCTCTTGACCCTTTTGTATAGAGCTGCAATATTCTGTCTTATTGTTCTTTCATATGGAATGTATTTTCAAATGTAAACTCTGCGCTTTCTCTCCTAGCTCTCTTTTTCTCTCTCTTAGCATTTAAGCATTTGCCATTATCCAGAAAAAGAAACTTGCAGCTTTAACCTGCTGGTAATGGCAAGCGATTTTACTAGACTTTATGTTTAAAAATAAATGAATAAATAAATAAATAAGGGAAATTCCTAACTTTGCCCTCCAAAGTCTAACTTTGGTTTTCTTGTTAACTGGTTAAAGTGACAGTATCTTTTTTCCAAAAAGCTGTTTTTCTGTCCTTTCTGATCAGAATAATGTTTGGTAGAAATGTTTGAGGTTAATGGAAATAATGGTCAGTCAAAGGAAGAAATAATACCAATTGGTTTTTAAGTGAGATCCAAAGGAAGAATAGCTTCCAAATATCAAAAAAAAAAAAAAAAAACATGAAATTTTTACATACAAATATGCAAAAATAGCTCATGAGAAACCTCTTGTTTTGACACTGAGACAGAAAAGAGAAGTGGACTGGAGAACTGTTAATCTAAGAAAGAAACTATAAATCCTGATGGTTGCTGGTAAATCGTTTTAAGGTAATACGAGGACATGTAAAGTCAGAACATTTTCAAACATCCATTCAGTAGCAAGCCCCCCAAAATAGATTTGAACAGACCACTTCTAGAAACTTCCAGTGGCCCGTAAAGAAAAAGCCTGCCTCAGACTAGCAGAGCCTAAGCTTCTGACTTCACAGAGTAGAAAATAATCATGAGGCAGTGTGAGGTGGACCAGTGATGCTCTGTTGTTTGGCCGGATCTCATATGCCAGGCTGTAGTAAAAGATTTCAGACCTCTCTCTTTTCCTATGTCACTTAGGTCTCATTCTAATACATTTGTTCTGAGTCACATTTGCATCATGGCTGGAACAGTCTGTTGATTTAATTGGATTGAGAATGTCTTTCGGTTCCAGGAAAGTATTGATCACCAAGAAAAAAGAATAGGTTTTTGTCCCCAAAGGCATTCATTCGTTCTTATACCAGGAGAAAAGCATTGAGTGAGACTTGGTTTTGTTTTTAAGGCAACAGATTTAAACGTTGTCCTAGCCAAGGAAAAATGATACTGCAACTTTAAATTTTAAAGTATCTTGCACTGATAAATATATTTAAAAATTATATGTTTATAAAGTTATTAATTTGTAAAGTCAGTGTTACAAAATGTTCAGTTTATATTGTTTTAGATTGTTTTGTAATTTTTAAAGGTGTAAAATAACATATTTTTTCTTTATTGAAATCTATAAAACTTTCTGTAGTAAAATGTTTTCATTTTACTGGTATATTATTGCTTCATGTTTTGTACCATCATAAAATTTTGTGCAAATTTTTTTTACAGAAATTTTTATTTTCTATGACAATATGACACTTGTAAATTGTTGTTTCAGAATGAACAGCGAAGCCTTAACTTTAAATGACATTTGTATTCTCAGACTCTGAGTAGCATAAAAATCACGTAGAACTGAATTGTAACTTAAATTCCAAACTATGACTACTACATTCCAAAGAAACAGTTGATTAAACATTTTCATAAAATATTTCAAACCTGATGGCTTTTATTATAGTAGCTTTGTTCTTGTTAAAGAAATTGGTGTTATCTCACCATCCAGTAACTTTCAAGATTTTTTAAAATTCTCTTTTTAAAATATCATCATAAGGTATAAGAATTAAGAAGATATTTCCTAAACATAAGATACAAAAACCAAATCAGATAATGCTAACATAGGGAATACAAAATTCTACTTTATAGGTGGAAAATTTTCAATTTCATATTGTATGCCCCTGTTTCATATCCCAGCTAGTAAAGTTTATTTCATGATATTCACAAATAACTAGGGGTAAGTTGTGTTCTTAAAGAAAATAAGAAATAAATCTCTTTGTATATACACTCATGCTACATTTAGATGAAAGGAAAAATTGAGTATGCCATTATTAGCCATTGAGTAATTCTTGGGAAAATGTCTATTCCATTTAGGATCAAAATAATAGAAAAATAATAACAAAAATATAGGCAACAGAAATATTCAGCCGTCTTTCCACTGAGCCACATCTTCAATGGTTTTTATTTTTGAGATAAGGTCTTGCCCAGCTAGCCTCAAACTCACAATCCTCATGCCTCAACTTCCCAGATAGCTAGAATTATAGACATACACCACCATACATGCAACCAACAATCTTTCTCTCCCTTCCCCTGACTGCAGAAAAATGATCCAAAAAACATAGCCTATGAGGTATGGGCAGCTCCGGGGAGCTCTCCCCAGTGAATCAGCATTTCCTGTGTAGGCTGCTGTTCTCTAAATGATTTTGGTAGCTCCCAAGAATAGAAAACTTTTCCTATTTAGATTTTTTGGTATTTCTGCTTAGAGACGAGTCAACAATGGAACCAAGCAATCACTTTAGTGAGACTATATTTTACCAACATTCATGGATACTTCTAAGAAATGTGACACTTGCACGGAATCTATCAGAATTAATTCAGACATATTTTCTGAAAAATGCTAAGGACTGTGGACTGGAATTTTCTCCTTTCACTCCTTTCTTATCCATACTCGGCTGATAAGCCAAGCTTTTCAGTAGGCTTAAAAAATCAAGTTACTGGAAAATATTTTGCAGTTCAGGAATTAAACCAGCATGAGGATTGAAACACCGATCTAAAACATGAAAAATTGTATGTGCTCCTGTTTTATAGCTTCCCGATGACTTGTTGTCACTTGGGCTGAACTGCACTGTCTCTTTCTTCTCAATGACGATTGTCAGGGTTTGTGATGCATTAAAAAGCAGTTGTAAGAATTAGCTCTATATCCAGTAAGTGGTTGTAAACAGAACTGCAACCTGAAGGTTGAGAAGCCTGTCTGAAGGGTTCCTCAAACCGAGTGAAACTTGGTGTAGGAAGAATATGACCTCAGAGTGTTCCAAAGAAACACTGTAAGATGATGAAGATGAAATATCATATGCAGGTAACTTCTTAGCAAGACCCAATATCAAAAAAAAAGGTCTTCTACATGAACCAATCCATTGAACATGTTTCTATTCATTTTTATTTTATGGAAGCTTTGTAAGGCAAATTTTACAATTTTTTTGTATTTCACTTTATAAAGGAGAACTCCAAAGTTCAGAGAAGTTGAATGATGAGTCTAGGATACAGTTGATCTCATGTCCCCTCCATTACACCTGCCAATATCTAACAAGGTGACATCATAGGACCTCAAGTCAAAATGTGTCCCACCAGGCAGGCGGTGGCACCTGTAAGCCTATTAAAGGTACAGAATCTCCAGCAGGATTCTAGACCTGCTGAGATATTCTCTTCCTCTTGTTTCACTTTTGTTTTTGAGGGACACAGAGTTGTACATATTTATGGGATGCAATATGATATTTCAATACAGTTGCACGTCATACAATGATCAAGCCAGGGTGTACAAGAACCCTGCATGATCTGAGGTCACATTCAGGTCTTAAAAAGCCCTGTGTATCCTGCTGTTACCATGAGCAAGTATGTGAACATTCACATTGTTTCTATAGTATTTTCTGAACATCCACTCAGAGATGAAGAAGTCCCTGCAGGGCTCACAAAGCACTTTCCAGAAGAGCCTAGGAAAAAAAAATTAGTGAGGTCTCACTCATCTAACCCGAAAGCAGTTTTTGGTCATTTCCTACGATGTCTTGTGACAGCCCAGAGGTGGGCTCTGGAGAAGGAGATACTACCGCAGTACTTTAATGGACCAGATATTTTCAGGTGCTGCAGGAGGAATACAGCAAAAATTCTGGTATTCATCACAGTTTGGTCACAGAGGAAGGGAAATCCTCATTTTTGCAGTCAAATCCTATTCTGAAAAAATTGCATTTTGCATCAGATACAGTTTACTTCTTTCACAGACATTAAAATGCTAATAAAACCAGACTGAGTCCTTTTTATTTAACCTTCCCTTGATAACTTCTAATCTTGTTCCTTAGAGTCTGTCTTGCAAAGAAGGAGAAAGTGTCTGATATAGAGCTTTGAGGTTAAATAGTGACTCCCAGGAGAGGGCTTTTCTACATAGCAGTGTTTCAATCTCTGCATCTTAATACTGTGGTATATCTGTTATACTGTAGGAATTCAAGGACTAGATCATAGTTATAGCCAATTGCCGAATTTTGTCTGGTAATGGAGTTAGAATGTCTGCTTCCACTTGCCCCAGCAGAATGTCAGGTTAGGAATGGACACACAGTCCAGTGACAGCTGCCCTGAATCCTACCTTGTGCTGCTTGAATGAACGTGTCCCTCATGGTGCTCCGTTTAATGCCTTGAACACCCCTACTCATCATTTTGATGTGAGCCAATTCTCCACCCTTTCTTCAAAGCCCCACCACTATCTCCCAGAGATGTAATGTTGGCAGCGCTAATGATCCTGATGTAATCCTGTCAGGAAACTACTCCATCGCCTCTCAGAGCTCTCTCTCACTGCTCTAATTCTGCCATCTTTTGAAAATTTTCAATGTTGATTAATTTGCGTCTTGATTTCTTGGATGTGACATATTTAAAGCAGACTCAATCAGTATCATCAGATCTTTTGCAGTTCTTCTGCTGTGATTCATGTCCTCCAGCTAAAAAGAACTTATTTTTAGAAGCATAATGTAATTTGTCTCATGGTCAACTTTTAATTATATATAAATATATATAAATTCCTATTATTGATTGATCACTAATCAAAAAATTCAAAACACTCCGAAATTCAGTGAATTGAACTGAATACCAACATGAAGCCATGAGTTGAAAATTCCACACCTGACTCCTGTAAAAGGTCCCAGTTAAAACATAACAGCCGTAAAAATACTGTACAATGTTACCTTCAGACTATGTGTACAAGATACATGTGAAATATATATAAATTTTGTGTTTAGACTTTGATGCCATCACTAAAATATTTGTATTAGTCAGCTTTTCATTACTTTAACAAATATCTGAGATAGATCAAGCTAAAAGGAAGAAAGGTTTGTAGGTTTCAGTACATGGGCACCTGAGCCCATTACATTGAGCCAATGGTAGCACAGTGTGTCATGACAGAGCATGTGGCAATGGAGGCCTGTTGATCTCATGGCATCTGGAGCAAAGAAAGAGGAAGGGGGTGAGGCCCCAGCGGCACCTTCAAGGGCATGCCCCCAATGGCCTAGCTTCCTTCCACTAAGCCTCACTTCATAATACCACAGCCTGTGGTAGTCTTTAACAAGCCCTAGGGGACATTCAATCTAAACTAAAACAATGTCTCATTATGTGTATGCAAATATTCCCAAATCTGACAAATCCTGAGATCTAAAGCACCTGATCCCAAGCATTTCAGATAATGGCTACGCAACTTATTCTGCTACCAAATAACACAAATCAGCACTTCTATTTAATTTTACCTCTGTATTAGGAGATTTGGATGGTTGGAGAGCTCCATGGAGCAGCCCTACTGCTGTTTCTTCCCTGCTCCCTGAACACACAGAGATACCACCTTAGATAAATGTGTTTCCACTCATCAACTATTTGGAATATATTGTACTATGGCCTTACCTTATTATTAGGCCTAATATTATCATGTTAGGCTAGGCTATGGTAGAATAAGAAAGACACTCCTGTATAGCAATGAATTCACTCATAACAGTGTATTATTATCACACAAATTCTACTGTGGATCCAATAGCTATAAACCAGCTCTAGTTCAAGCTGACATTCAGAGATCCAATCTGGTTACCTCCGGCTGCTCTACCACCTCCAGCATGTGGCTTTCAGACTGTGCAAAAGAGAACTAGAAATCTGCTCTCTTTCAGATACTGCAGCCTAGAGTGCAAACAGGCCCACCCAAGTCAGAGGCACTGAGAACACTGTGGAAATATGCATATTCTAGAAGCAGTGGGCACCTCTGCCATAGCTGGCAAAAGGGCAAAGCCAACCTACTGCTGTGGAAGAAAGAGGCAGCCACTCATCACACTGATGTGAAGAAAAGTGAGCTCCCTCTGGGCCTATAAACATGCCATAGTAAGAGAACAGTCAACTGAGCTTTTGATGACTTACGATGGTCATGTCAAGTCAGGAACAGAAAGTGAGGGACCTAGACTGAAGCCCTGTGGGATTATTTCAGGGTCACAGAGAAGGGATTTTGTGAAGTGGGACAAGTTCTGATTCTCGAGAAAAAATGCCTATTCTTCTCATGTATGCTTGTGTATCTCCACCTGAACGTACCCTAATACTCAGTCATTTAGTGGCTAATAATGTTAAGCAATCTTTAAAGTTCTCAGGTTTGTCAGTTATCTAAATGGGACACAGGAGAAGATGTTTGCCCATGCACTAGCCAAAACATAAGAAAAAAGCCGAGCAATATCTGGGGCCATGGCATTTCCATTTCTACCCTCTATTTTTATTTCTTTCTATAGAATTTCTTCTGACACACTGCACGCGTTACCTATTTATTTTATTAAATATTCCTACAAATAGAGTGAAAGTTCCATGAACACACTGGTTTTCATGTTTAGCTCACTGCAGTATCCACAGTGCATGGAATAAGTAGGCCCAGAACATGAC